CGGTTCTTTTGAGCTTATAACTTTTAGAAATGTCGAAAACTGAAAGAGGAGGTACATTTTTTCTGTAAAAAATCCGGAAAATTGGTCATTTTTGGAATATTTTCTTCACAGGAAAAAGATCATACAGGATTCTATAACCACTGATTAATTTAAAGAATTATTTGAACCATCTTGAATCTCCACAAAATCAGTTCAAACATCCTGAAAATATGGCTTTAGGCCTGCAATTGTGATCGCGCCAAATTTTTTTCTGTACATCAAAATTCAATTTGCAGTTTGGAAATGATTTGTGGGAGAGCGTGAACTGGTAAATTTCAGTTTCTTTTTTCAAAATATTGTTTCTCAATTTTTTCAATTGAATCAACTCACTTTCGTTGTTCCATCCATCCCAGTACGACTGTGATTGTTTTGATGCTATGAATCCAGCTTGCTGCCAACCTGAAATTTTTGAATGTTTACATGTTTGCTAGTTAGAAAACAGTCAAGTACTAAAATTTTCAAAATTTCAGTTTTTTTCGTAATTTTCAAATTTTGAAAGGATAAGCTTCTTTTGAAACTCCCAAAAATACATTTTCAGGCACTCCAAGATTACTCTCATCTCATAATGTTTTCAGACTAAACAGATTAATGGAAACAAAAATACATACTTCCTATGTTGCTTGCTTCTCCTCTTGCTTCAATTTCACTGCGTGTCTCCATGGCTTCGCCGTTTTCGATAGTTTTGGCGATAAGTTCCCACGATTCAACAAAGGAAGAAGTTGAAGAAGTCATCGTCTTTGTCAGATTTCCTTGCTCGGCGTCAACTAGGCCCACTTTGACTGACAGACAATTCTCGGAGTTCTCTGGTGGAAGCTTCGGACTTTGAATGCTATTCGTTGTTGCTTGCTGTTCAACTAGGCTTTGGATCGATGAAGAATGACGAGATGTCGGTTTGTCGATTTTTGGAGAACGGATGATTTCGCTTCTTGGTTTTTTTGATGGAGGTGATCCGACAGCTTCGCCCGGTTGAATGGTGGGATCAAGCTTCCGCTTCACATTCAGAAATTTTGAAGCGAAACGCACAAAATTCCGTCTTGTGGCGTCGGCTTCCTCTCCATCGATCTTCTTCCAAAGCCGCACTGGAACATGAATAACTGCCAGTGAAGCAAATCCAAGTGGCGGTTCTTCCGAATTTATAGAGAACCTCCCACTCGGTGTCTCGAAAAATTCCGAGAACGGCTTTTTATTTCTACGTGCATAGTTTTTCTCAAAAAATTGGTATCGCTCAAATCCCATCTGCTCATCATACAAAACAGCTCGAGCAAATTCCAGGTCCCATCTTTGAAGTCGAACTGTAAAGATGAGTATAGATTAGTTACTTCAATTTCACGTCGTTTGCTATCCAATGAAAACAATATAGTGTTCATGATTATTTTTCTGACACGGGAAGTACCCGAAGTGTCTGCTCTCCCTTTGTTATATATTGTTGACAAAAAATGTTTCTTGCCTAGACTAGAACAAAACTATCAGAAAGGCAAAACTTTTCCCAATTAAAAAAAAGTGGATCAAGTTCATTCGAAAACTTTGTGCAGACCATGGATAACAATTAAATCGCATCTCATAGAACGGGGTTGTGGCTACAAAAACCCATTATACCTATTGTCTTTCTCTGCAATGAAATTTACGATGATGGGAAATGCCCGAATGGTCCGATTATGTGAAATCAAAAAATGTAGATTTTCGAAAAAAAAACGTTTTTGAAAGACCATGTCTATTCAATTCCTTTCATATCAAAATGCACAACTATATTTTCAAATATATACCTCACCGTTCATCTAAGTGATATTTTTGCAGAAATAAATTTTTTTCAGATGCAATCATGTCTTTACATGGTTTTTTAAAACTATTTTTTTCAAAAACAACATAAAAGCTCTGCAAATAAAAGATTCAGTTGGTTTAGTTGATTTTTGAGAAAAACTGATCAACTCGTGATCAAGAAGTCAAATAACTCAAAAACAAGTTTTCACATGTTGTAAGTAAGCATGTATAGGGCACGGGCGCTTCCGTAAAACATTTACGAATTGCTAATTAATTTGTGATCTACCGAGAAAAGTTTTGGTGCGATTACAATTTCAGGTCTAAACCCATGTTTTCAGCATTTTCAATCTAATTTTGTGGAGGTTCAAGATGATTCATATGAGTTTTAAAAAATTAATCAGTGGTAATTTGCATTGAAGAATTTTTGATTCATCCGATAGAACTTTGTTTTATTCCGAAATTGCACGAAATCACGTTTTTACGGTGTTTTTTGATTATAAAAAAGTTTTATTGGATGAATTAAAAATTCATCCATACAAAATTAAGAATAAATAATTTCTCTTGAACTATAGAACTCCTAGAAATGTTGAAAAATGAGAGAGAATTTTACTTTTTGCTGTAAGAAACTTTGAAAATTAACCATTCTTGGAATATTTTTTCCGGAAAAGAACCATACAGGATCCTATAACCACTAATTACTTAAGAAAAACTCATTTGAATCATCTTGAATCTCCATAAGATCAGATAAAAAATGCTGCCAGTATGGCTTTAGACCTAAAAAATTAGTTCAAAAAACCGTGTAAGCGGTACATGGTTGAAGCTGAATTTTTTTTAAATTTCTCCTAAATGAACGGTGAGCTATATGTCTGTACAAAGTTATGATTTTTTGAACGGACTTGGTCCACTTTTCTTTCAATAATCAGACAATGCTTTGCAACTCTACTAAACCTGCTTGTTGGCACTTTTTATTATACGTTTTGTTCTAGTCTAGGCGAAGAACATTTTTGCCACCAATATCTAAGAAGAAGCGAGCAGACACTTCGGGAACTTCTCGTGTGAGTCACATATACAGTACCGGTTAATAAGATATACAAAATCGTGTTCTTCCGTTGCTTTTGATTGTTTTCAGAAGTTTGGTTGTCATATGTTCTATAACATTGAACATTTTGAAGGGTGTGAAACAGACCTAATTCAAAAACTGTGCATTCACATAATTATTTCAAAGTTTCTAGTTTATCAGCTATTGGTCAATTTTTGAAAAGCACCTGATTTTGACATGGGGTTTTTTTTAATTGAAAACTTTGAAAAGGTGTCCTGAAAAAATCGGCAAGTAGCTGAAAAACTAGAAAAAATTTAACTGAAAAACACGTTTCTTAATATCTTACTGACCATTTCTCTACCTGTTTTGAATAAAGTAGTTTCTTTTTATAATGAGAGTAGTTCCCTCGGTATTTCAATTTTTAGAGCAAACGGAAAAACAACTCACCCATAGGATGTCCTGACAGGAACACATCCACGGCACCGCTGTGGTTTTTCCAAATTTCGTCACGTTCCGATTTGATCAGACGTTCCTCTCGCTCCATCTTCACTCCTTCGCAATATGCATTTATCTTGTCTTAAAAAATAAAATACCATATTTCCTCTAATAGAAGACCATCTCTAGCCCATGGGCCTTTATTAGAAGTAGTTCAAAATTTCAGAATTTTTGGAAGTGTAGAATTTTTCCCGGAATTTCAGAATTTTTGAATTTTGAGATCCTGGAATTTCAGAATTTCAAAAGTTTGGGATTTTGGAATTTAGAATTGAAGATTGAAATTTTTGAATTTTACAAAACACGGAATTTCAAAATTCTTAACTTCTGAATTGTCAAATTTCAAATTTTTTTGAGTAACATTTTTTTTTTGAAAATAAGTCGGTGAAAAATAAAAGGCCCACCCTCTAACTGGAGCCCACCTCTAATAGAAGCCCACCCCAAGACAGAGGTTGAAAAATGCGTACTTGCAACCGGGCCTTCGCGGGATCTGCCATAGTTTCTTTTAGAATTACTATTTTCAGACCAGCTAAAATAGATATGGTAGAACTTAAGGAGTACTTCAAAATGGTATTATTTGAAAAACTGTGTCTTGTCAATGAACAAAGTTACAGACAAAAAACAGAGACTCGGCCCGGGCTTACGCGACAAGGCCCGGCCACTTTATGACTTGTAACTTTTTTCATAGACAAGGCACAGTCCTTCGAATAGTATCATTTTGTAGAACTCGCAGAGTTCTATCACGATTAATTTAGTTTCTCTGAAAATATTGTATTCGAAAGAAACTATGGCAAGGCCCGTGAAGCTTCTATTAGAAGAAATACGGTAGGCTAGTTTTAATTGAGGCGAGTCTTCTGACTAAAAAAACTAGAACCCTCGAATAAGTTTCTTATGACCACCATACGCCTAAAAACCGAACATCGCGAAAAAAACCCTTTTTTTAGTTGTTCAAGATTATTGGTTTGTTATTCCAAAAAAAAAAGAATACCCAATCACTCCCCATGAAGAACTCGGCCAAATGGGCTGAAAAATACGTTTCACACAGTTCTTCAAACCAAGACTCACCCAAAGCTTAAATCTTCAGTATTCACTTGAACCTTGCCATATTCAACCTCCTCTAGACATTTCGCCGTCAACGGTCTCATATCTTTATTTCTCAATTCCAACCAAGCTCGGAATTTGGTAACGGTCGGAACGAGTTGGGAAAAAGCTCACACATTTCCAAAATAATCTACAATAAAGACAGGCTGTTTAGAAAGTGTAGAGGAATTTAAACTCACAAATTGTTCGACTCCTTTCGAATCAGCAGATTTTTGATGAGAGGTGAGAACCACTCTCCCATAGGCCCCGTTGCTTCGATTTTCGTCTTCATGTAGAAGAACCACAGAACCGGTTTCCAATCCCCGCCAAGTTTCGAGCTGGATTTCACGATCAGGTGAAAGTTTGAGCTCCGTTTTGAAGATGATCTCTCCATTCGCCGTCATCAGTTCTTGACAACGTCTTTCGGTAATGTACCATCGAGTTTTATGGTAGAATTTGCGTTGATCTGTAAATTGAATTTTCTGACTCAAATTTAAGATCCAACTTTTTCACGGGATTGAAATTTTTTCTCTATGATTTTGAATGCCCATTTTTACAACTGTTCGAAAAAATTCACTCTCGATGGAACATTTTACGGTTTTTTAAATGATCTACTGGGTCACCTCACTTTTTATACTAGAACTCTCAACTACGTTTCTCACAGTATCAGGCAATAAAACTTACAAAAACAATAGTTTCAGTCGATTTTGATCACTTTCAGCAGTCTGGAACTCGGCTGTCAAATTTAAGACCATTTTGAAAAATTTGAAGAATGTAAACAGACCAAAACTGGGAGCAATGCATTCACAAATTTTCAAAAGTTCCTAGTTTTTTCAGCTACTTGCCGGGGTTGGAAACGTTTTTTTTTTCGAACCCGTTGTTGTGCAGAAACCGGAAAACGGGTGTTTTTCAGAAATCGGAAAATACAGTAAATATCTGTAAGACCCCTGACTTTACGATTTTCCAGTGATAATTTTCAAGAAAAATTTTCTCGGAAGTATCAAATATCCATTTAAAAAACGTTTTCAATTGATTTCAAATCAAATAGTATTGATTTCTGACAGTTTTCAGATCAAAAGAGCTCTCGTCTTTTTTCAATATTTTAGTAATTTGAAAGCAATTCAAACAGAATGCACATAATTACGGATCCTTAAAATCTGAGCTTACCCATCTGAATTGTTTTGGGGTTGATGTTCAAAGGAGTCCAGGGCCAAATTTTATCAATTATGAATCCGTTAGTAATTAAATCATGAAGAAAAGACTGTGAGCTTTCAAATAAAGTATGATTTGATTAAATTTCATAGAGGAGAACTCTGTCATGTACCATAACACCGGAAAATCTCTCAAAAATATCAAAAATCTTGAAATAACTTTTCAGAAGTCAATTTTTGATCTGAAAACTGTCAGAAATCAATAATATTTGATTTGAAGTCAATTGAAAACGTTTTTTAAATGAATATTTGATACTTCCGAGAACATTTTTCTTGAAAATTATCACTGGAAAATCGTAAAGTCTGGGGGTCTTGAAGAGATTGACCGCTCTCATACGGGTTTTTGGATGGTACATGGTCAGGGAAAGTTTTAAAATTATGAAACATTATCTCCTGGGATTATTCTTGGTTGTGAATTGAATGATGTTAACCGTTTTTCGATATCGCTTCTAGCTTTTTCTGCGCGCCCAAAACCAAAGGGGATCTTAACGATATTGACAGCACTGTAGCTGAAAAAACTAAAATTTTCAAAAAATTATGTGCATGCAGAGTTTTCAGTCTAGGTCTGTTTTACCTCTCTAATAGGTCTATTCAGTAAGAAGCAAATCAGCAAATTACTGGAGCCGATTGCTGAAGTTTTCTAGGCTGCACAAGGAAAAAACCAGAAATTTGCTGATTTGCTTCTTACTGAATAACCCCATAACAATTTTAAAATGATCGTTAACTTTACAGTCAAGTTCCAGTCTCGTAAAAATGATCAAAAAGCCAAACATAAACTGAAAGTATGTTTTTGTAAATCTTATTGACCGGTACAGTATGTCTAAAAGCGGATATTTCAAACAGAATGATAAGTATATGTTGGGAAGCGTGTGACGCTAATAATCTACTCGATAAATATCTTGGCTCTAAAATCACTGAAAAAATTGCAAAACTGCTCTAGAATAAAGTTGAAAAGCTTAACATATTAACAAACATTATGAACAACACTTCTTTGATATTTCCAGTTTCCTCAAAGTCGCAAGATGCTTTAAAATGGACAATTGTTCAATATATGTTTTAATATAAAATTTATACTATTTCTGATGTCCTACGAAATTCCTTCTCCACTGAAGTTTTATGTCTGGTATTGTCTGAGTTGAGGCGTTTTGTGACTCTACATATTATATCTATCTATTAGTTCATTGAGTGATTTTCAAACGTACCGCTCTCTGGCTGATCTACAATTCTTGCAATCATTGTATCCAGTTCGTCATCTGACCAATTCTTGAAGCGACGATCTCGGTTGAAATCGAAATCAATGGGGAGATTTTCTACCATTCTGAAATTTGTCTTGCTATGAAAACAGAAAACTGATGAAATCCGAAAAAGATTATGAACGATGGTGAAACACAAATCAATATAGTTGAAACGCTGCTAAGCAAAAATAGTAGTAATGAATTTTGAAAAAAGAAAGAAAAGTGAGTGCCCAACCTGCTAAAACTTGTTTTATGGTGATCTCAAGGAAACCATATGTATTCAAGGAATTACTAATGTAAATGAAGAATTCCAGAAACATGATACGCTATAAAACACTAGTAAACCAAAGAGACGCAGAGAAAGACTCCTGGAAAATCCTAATCAAGCACTCACAATAACCTAAAACACGCACTCAAAAGACCTTTGTAATCTTTAAGACATAGAAAACACCAAAACTAAGAACTCTATTAAAACAATATTTATTGACATTACTCAATGAAACTTTTAAAAACCCTTTGTAACCAGTGAGCAACACTAAAACGGGTCGTCACCAATCGTGTACGAACACCAGCGAAGACTGATGAGAAACATGACAATTGCCAAGAGAGAGGAGACGCGTTTTGGCGCGCATAAAGTTTTGCGCGCGGATACTGTAATCCACACCTCTTGCACGTGTGTTCGGAGGAGATTTATTCTCTTCAGACTTGGAAAGAGGATTTTAAGAAAGAAAACACGGTAGAATACCGTACAAATATTTAGGATTGCTCAGAAGAAAACCTGAATTTTTGTTTTTAAATCAATGAAAATCTCGAAAACGTCAGTTACCTTCAAGAAAACTTTGTCTTTCACCTAAAAAATGATTTTCGAAACCATAAGCAAATACAAAAGCCTAATAAACTATCTTTTCAATCTTCATTGCAATAAATCGTGGGAATACTCAATAAACCAGCGTCTCGCTCTTAGAATTTGATCACCGAAATATAAAATGAGAGAAAGAGGGAAGAAAGGATGCATGTACTTATAACATGGACTGTACATGACTCAGACCCAAAAAAGAGGAGTTCTTAATCATATGCGAGCAAACGAGTCACAATTCAGATGCAAATGACTTATCTGTCGGGAAAGTAAGCAAATTAGCGTCAGTCGTACCCATTTTTCTCACACTCTTAGCATTGGTTAGTAGAGCGTGAAAGATCAGAGATAAGAGAAAACGGATCTTTTTAAATCTAGAAACTGAATTGGAAGAGTTTTGGTGTGGGTGAAAAAAAACGGAGTGTAAAATCTTCAGAACCTTCTAGGAAAAGGGAGAACAAAAACAGAATGCAAACACAAGCGGAATAGATGATAAAAATTCCAATAATAAAGTGCACAAGTTCCCAACGATTTTCTTTCCTCTGAGGTCGATGGGAAGGTGATAAAAAAGAGACAGCGAGCGGCATATGAGTAGGGAACCACCAGAAAAAAGGACACCTCCCTCTCAGAAACGTTTTGTGATGAATGGCAGTCAGAGAATGCTAGGACACGAAAGGGCGGAGTTTGGACGTCCGCTGGAGGAGAAGAGGCACAAAACTACAGTCTACAATGCTTTTTCGTCTCCTCCCTCTCGCCCGTGCAGACAGGGCGCGCTTGCATTACGAAATTGCGTAATTTTGAGATCAACTTTGGAGACGTCAAACTCATGAAAAAGAGCAGGAGATTTTTAAAAAACAAGACAAAATAGATAGAACAATTTATAAACTATTTTTAGAATCAAAAATTCAGAATAATTTTCATTGCTGATAGAATGAGACGCTGCAGAAGCAGGGTAGCATATTTTCAGAAACATAAAAACTTTTCAGACTATTCAAGAGCATTATCATGAAAGTAGCGATGTATTAACATAACGTGAGTCTAGTCCAACGGTCTGAACAATTTTGGGTTATCTGTATGCACTCTGAATAACTTTTGCAGGCCAATTTGTGGTGATTTTTGGACGTATTGATATCAAATTTCTTTAACAATCAATTTTCATGAAACTCAAAACAAACAGTTTGTAGACAATTTAGAGCCAATCATTTTGATATATTATCTAGAAATATCGGTCTACAGAGACTCTCAAAAAGTAGAGGTCAATTTTTCAGTACTAATTTTCGCTTTGTTAAAAAAATTTTATCGGAAAACTGCTCACAAAAAAATGTTCTGAATTTAATTGCGGTCATTTTGAGCCAAAAAAAAAAAAACTTCTTCGCTTGCGAATTCATGGAATAGATTTATAGCCATAAACATGTCGTATTCAGTCACCCCAATTGGCAGTGTAAAATTTCATATTCTTTGGATGATAATTGTATCTGCTTTTTACAACCCTATCGATTTCTTGTTTGCCATAACAACAGACACCTATGTGGTGCAACAGATGGTAATATGCATTCCAGAGATCACTCTATCCCTTTCCCGAGGGAATCGTCGACACAGGGTCGAAAGATTTCGCCAATTTCTTGTCTGTCTCTTGTGCAAACATTGCTAAAAATGGTCCCACCTCGTAGTGGTTACCCAATGACACCGCGCGGATGCCTTTTGTATTAACGGGTGTTCTGTTCGGAATTTGATTCTGAAAAAAATCTTCGGACATTTCTCGGTTGGATTTTCATTCCGAAAATGCGCGGAACTTGTGAAGTTTTTGGGATTCCGCTTTCCGTTCCGAACATCCCTGGTCATCATGTTTGGTCCGCTCTTATGACCGGTGGGACTTATCTTCTGGGCATCATGCAACAAACGCTACTTGATATCAAGTCCAGACAGCCTAAACGGTAATATCCGCTTAGAACATCCGCACCAACGATAAGCAATAATCTTAGTTAAAATCTAAATGTCAATTTTTGAGGTCCGACAATCATCACGAACGCATTCCAAGTTCTGTATTATCAACACTTATCATTAGGCGTTGTTATCATCTCAACTACGATGGTCACATTTGGACATTGTTTTCGCTACAGCCAAAAATATATCGGATCAATAGTGCTAATCCTCCCTCGACTCCGGCCATTAAATGTGCATATCGCCCTGTTGCGCAACTCATGTGTTCGTCGAGTCATCTGGCACAGTAACACCAAAACAGAGCACAGACAGAAGGCACCTGCGCTGTGTCATTGCGTAGATTTTATGAACAGGGACCATTGTTAGCAATGTTTGCTCAAGGGAGATTAGTGTGCCGGCGAAATAAAAAGTCAACGGAATCGTTTGACGCTTTGCCGACGACTGGAGTGACGTGGAGTCCTAGAGAGTCGAAAAATTGTGAGCAATTATTTATTCCTAAGGACCCCAAACTTAATTCAGAGTTACTGATTTAAACATAAAACATGTCTTAAACCAAACGATTCACAAGATGCTGACACGGCTTGGTATTATTGCTGTCTGAAAAAATGAACAATAGATAGTATTTTTTGCAGTCTGAATACGGTAGGTTTCTCGAAGCGGCAAGCCTAAATAGCACACATAAGGTGGAGACGCAGAGAAATTCAGTCTGCGTCTCAAGTTCCTTTTTTTTACGACAGCGATAATAATGTTGTCAAATGATTGGTGGCTGTTTCTGAGGATATGACTCATCCCGGATGATGATTCACCCGTTACTAGATGGTACAGGAAAAACAAGGCGGAGAATCAGTCACTAGGAGCCATCATGAGGTGTCTACTTCAAAAGTGGTACAGAAAAAATGGGATAGTGGGCAGGTGAATACGAATAGTCAGGTTTTTATATCTCGGGGTCTTTCGTAATATAAAGAGCAACTAAACGATAGCAATTTTTTCATAATCTCCTCAGCATATTCTTGTCCGTAGCACGCCACAGGCTGGCCTGCAAATTGATTTTTGCGAACATAAAGAAGTTGTAGACAAAAAACACTTCCATCTCTTCGGGAATCCATATTAGATTGACACAAAAATGAAGAAACTTTCGTTAAAGGGGGCCAGACAGAAAAGTTTTCGGGGAAAATTTCAGGGAACGTGTGATTTGCCGTCGCGTTGTTCGCACCTAAAGCACGCAATCCGACGCGCAAACTTTTTATTTTTTTTATTTTCCGACTTCATTTTTCCGAATTTTAAACGACTTTACAACTTAAAAAACGGTTTTTTTTGTAATTTCTTGTAAAAATCATATACAATAAAATTTTTTTCGTGAATTTCCGGTTCAGTCGAATGATTATTTTGTCATTGGCCGGTTTTTTCCGAAAAATATGCAAAAAAATAACTTTTTCTTCGATTGCCGTTTCGTCTTTCTTTTAACTGGTATTTTTTCGTCTCATTATTACTCCGAAAATGAAAACAATACAGTATGCTTCATGAATGAGGTTTTCAGCAACGCCTTCACATCTTCTGCTCACTTCGCCTTGCGACGACAAACTCGGAAAGAAAAAATTATAATTTTACGATTTTTTGAATTGTTTGTGTTCTATATTGTGTTAAATATTTAAGGTATTTTTTGCATAATTTATTTGTTGACATAATAAACTGCATATACTATTTTCAACAGTGTTTCTTATCTCGTAGCTAGGCTTTGACGGCACGCTGACGTCCCGAAAAGTTCGATTCCGAAAACTTTGAGTTTCAAAAGTTGAATCCAAAAGAGACAAGCTGAGAAAAAAGGGGAACCATCAGCGAGCGGGGATTGAACCTCCGACCTTCTGAATGCTAACCTTGAGCGTATCCACTACACCACGCGTGTGAGAGGCAACGACCGCGTTGATTTGTTTTATGAAGCGACGCCGCTGCAGCAAACGAGTGAGGAAGTTACGGTCAGAAAAAAAGAGCATTTTTTCGTCGGTGTAGTGTTTTTTTCTGGTTTTTAAGTACAAAACTATACTTATACTCTAGAGTTACCTCTTTTGAGAAAAATAAAAATGTTGAAAATTTTGATGTCTCCCCTCCTTTAATGAAGAAAGGAAGAAAGGATGTCAAAAAGACAGAAGGATATCAAAAAGACAGCTGTATGAAATCGAGCAGGAAGAGCAGACAATTGTATTAAAAGAGCAAATGCAACACCAAAGAAGCTATCTATTATAGGATTTACGATAATTATAGTCTTGTCATTTTTTCTTTTGCACCTCTAAATCTTTACACCTCTAAATCTTTTTAATTTACGTAAGTATTTTTCATTTCCGGAATTCCCCCGAATGATCCAAAGTGACAGCATAAGTGTTGAGCTCAATGGTCGCACAAAACTCTCGCTTACGTAGGAAGTCATGTCTTTCTCGACAAGGAACAAAAAATAGGGAGGAATTTTGACGGAAATAACAATCTAATATTTCTAAAAATTACGGTACTAACAATAAAAAAAAATCGCTATTATCTGGGTGAAACACGAAACATTGAGGAACGTGTAACATAAGTTGTATCAATTTGAAATTGGCAGGTGGGCTTTTTTTTATTTGGAAAGGTCGGTTTTGATGGAGTTCCCATGCTTTTTTGTTAATGTTGGGCCACGAGAAAGGACAAAAAAGTTTTTCATTAAGATATGAGGAACGCAGAAGGATATAGAAATGATATTCAAATAGCAGGTGTTCCTGGGTCAAAATAAGAGATATTGGGGGGACAGGTAACCCTCATTAAACCTCTGTTCCAATTAGAGGGAAGATGGGGGTACAAAGAGCCAGAAATTGATATAATTAGGCTCCCTAATCCCTAATCCGGAAAAAAGAAGCCGAAAATGAAATAATTAGCATTGCTAATCTAAAATAATTAGTCGGTCATTGTGTAACAATCACCAATCTTTTCGAAAAATTTTGTCGCCCAGGCAAGCCAACAACACTCCGCTATCCCGCTCCGAGCGCGCCCACAATTTGATGAAGTTCAGAGTTAAGAGCGAGTTTTTAACTCAGATTATCAATTTTCTGTTGTTGAAAGATTCCGATGTTCGAAGCTTCGATAATAACAGTTTGCGAAACTTTATAGAAGAATTTGAAATTCACAGTTTTGAGAATCCCAAGCTTAAAAACCGAACAATGTGTCTTATATTCTTTATGTACCCTCGGTGTTTAATTTTTGATATTAATAGCAAATAAGTCACGCAAGAAGAGTACCAAAATTGTGTTTTTTAATAATTTTCTATGTTTCGACCAAATCTCATAAAATATGCAGTCTAAACTGAGAAGAATCAACTCTGGAAATCAATTTCAAATGAGTAACATCTTACTTTTCATATCTCTGAAACTGATATTTGGAAAAAACACAAAGCTTTGAAAAATTTACTGACAAAAAAACGGAATTCACATTTTAAGAATAAATGAAGAAAACGATGACTCCGACGGTGATGAATCCAAGAATAGCGAGTGCCATGGCGAATCGTTGAGCCAACGAGAGGGTGAGTTGAACCGCTTTTTTGGTTGATCACGCATCGGGAGAACAGTGTAATCGAGGTTTGTGAGACGTAAATGAGGCGGCATTTTTCTGGAAGGATCAGGTGAGAATTTTTCAAGAATTTTTAGAGGAGGAAAAAGTTCAGCAGTCTACGAACATTCAGAAAAGAAAAAAAAAGAAAACGCTGAAATCTAAGCTGTTCTTTTTGAAGCGGAGAAAGAAATAGTTTCTAGAAAATAGCAAAAAATGTGATCAACTCTGTTCTAGATTTTAACTTTTTTTTGACAATTTCTCGAACCAACGGTTATAGGCAGTCATGCGATAATTTGATTAATCAAAATGTCTGAAAAAGTTATATTCGGAAATAAAATCTAAAATCATTCTTTTATAATTCGTGTGATACTTGAAAATCGGGGTTTTATGACATTTCGAAGAGTCGTAAGAAAGTAGGTCATAGGGAAATTGGAGGTGAAAAGAGAATGGACGATTAAAGGATTGGTTAAGCAAGACCAACATTTTATTATGTTGAAATTGAGCATCAAACCAGAAGGAAAGAAACTTAATATTGTGAAAGTCAAAATAATAGGATTCAGATTATGTACTTCGAAAAAATATTTTATTACATCAAAATGTGTTGAAAAACATAGGAATTCACATAAAACGAATAAAATTGAAAAAAAGGAAACCTCGGAAAATCCGTCGAAACAGAAATAAAAATCTCTGTTCTCGTCCATTTCTAGGAATTTTTAGAAAAATCTGGAATTAATTTTTGAATTAGCGCCGAAACTGGAAATTTTTCCTTTTTCATGTTCAACACTTTTTTAGAAGTGACTAAGAATTTTCAGCTTTGGCGGTAATTCAAAAAAGCTCTAGAATTTTTCAAAAAGTTTTAGAAATAGAAAACAACTGAGACTTCTTCTATTTTTGGAGCGATTTTTTCACTTCTCGGGCCGAAAAAACCAGGTCATCCAAGTTTTGAAATTATTGTGTTGTTCAAAATAAAATACAAATACTCAAGTGGTAATGCTAAAAAGAGATCATGTCTCAAACTGGAATTATAATTTTTTGACACAATTCTATTCACAAACCCAAAAGATGTTTCCTCAAAACTGACAGCTTGATGTAACAAATGAATATTTTGTTGACGAGAACAAGAAAATATTATAATCTTCCGGAATTCGGAATGAAACGGAAATTGAAAATTTACTCGGCTTCAGAGAAGTGTGTCAATACCGATCGTAGGTGCTTCACTAACAAACTTTTTGAATTCTCAGTGTAAAAGTCAAATTGGTAGTTTTCAAAGTCCACTAGCAAATGAAAGATCTCGGATAATGAGTGGTTAGGGTGGTGTCCACTTCTCAAAGTTTTAAGAGTGCTTCCGTTCAGATTGTGGACATCTTTTGAAATTTTGCAATATGAGTTTACAGTAACAGTCAATGCGGCATTCGAAAACATGTTTTTCAGTTGATTTTTGGTTATTTTGACCATTTTCAGAAGTCTGGAACTCGACTCTCAAGTTTCCAATCATTTTGAAAATTTTTAAGCTTGTGGAACAGACCTTGAACGAGAACATTGTATTGAAATAATTTTCAAAAACGTCTAGCTTTTGAGCTATTCGTCGATTCTAAAGGACACCTGTTTTTTCACGTTCCCAGTACAGAAACGAATCAAAAAATGATGCCTTCCAAGAATCGGCCAATAGCTAAAAAAAGAGGATTTTTGAAAAATTTTGTGAATGCTAAATTTCCAATCTAGTATTGTTTAGCCCCCTTCAACATTTTCATAGTGATTGGACGCTAGACAGCAAAGCTCCACGCTCCTGAAAATGATCTACATGGTCGAAACTCGACCTAAAATTACGTGTATCTTTCATCTTATCGCTCGGTACTGTGTATTGTCGTCGAGTTTCATAAAAGCACACAATTTTTATTCATGTCATGTGAGTATTATCAAGGCCAAAAAATAATAGGAGACTGGGAGAGAAAAATATAGGCTTCAGGAGAAATTTGTAGAGTTGATCAAAAATACATCGGGATTTTAGAGATTAGCATTATTGGGTTCCGGATCCAGATGAGGTGTCAGATTTGGTGTTGGAGAAGAACCAGATGAGGAACATGGCGAGAAGAGAGATGGCGATGGCGATGTACGAGATGAGGATACAGTATGCCCAGCGACACGCAGTCACATCCGTGGTCACTTGGTGGAACGAGTCGTCCAGCTGGAATAAAATATATAAAGAGATGTTTCAATATTTTGGAGAAAAATTCAAAATTCTCTTTTTTCTTTGTGATTCATAGAGATTATTACGATTATCAATTATGGAATAACGTCACAAGTGTTAAGCACTGTTAAACCGGTATCGCTAAGACTCAGGTACAGTAACCCGAAACTAGCCTGATAGTTCCTAAAGCGTCTGACTGTTCATACTCCTCCCAAAAACTTACTTCAGAGTCACTGATGTCGTCGACGTCCGATGCATGCTCGGAAGAAGATGAGTCGAGCTCCTTATCACCAAGTATTCTCATTGCTGAAAAACAAAAATGAGTAAAAAAGCAGAATAATAAGTCGATGAGAAAACGAAAAAGAGAAAACGAAAAATGAAATGAAAACCAGCAGGCAGATGGAAGAAAAAAGCGGCTCACAGCGTCTTCGTCGTCTTTCTCAAATTCTGATTTATGGCAAGAAGGAAGCGCTGGGCGGAGGGAATAGAAAGAAGGAAGATGTCCGCCTCCTACCTGATGTGGCGAGAGAAGAAAATGGGAAAAAAAGCGGAGATTCAAATTGACAGCGAACCCCTCTATTCAGCTCTGAGAAATAGAGACGTTTGGTTTTGGAAATAAAAAGAGGGTAGAAAAAGGAAAGAAAGGAATATAATTTGCTTCCCACGGAAAAAAAACTCATTCAAATGCATTTCGAAATAAACTCAAAAATTTTATGACCGTGCGCCTTTAAGGACAAAAGAAATTGAGCAATTTAGCAATCGTAACCCCTGTATTGCTTGTAGCCCAGCTTACATATTATATTATTCAACATTCCATTAATTTATTCACTAAAGGGTACGGTACTACTGAGATCTGAAAGGTGATATGGGATGAAAAAAAAAGAGACATCGGTCCGAATTTTCTAATTTTCTGCTCAGAAATTTACTCATTTGAGAGTTACCATTGGCAAAATGACAAGAAACGTTTTACTTGTGATGTCACATCTCCTGAGATCAGCCACTTGTTGTTGTAACTACAGTATACCTCTCCCTTCCCTTTCACTATGCAATTTTATAGCCATAAATTTCACTTAGCGAACTCGCATTATTTTTTTGTTCCTAGGACACAATTTCTTTTTTCCTTTTGTTTTCCCATCTCACAACAAATATCGTTGTCATGGTTACGTGCCCTATTTTTTATATAGTGAGCACACTCGGCTTTCAATTCAAATATGGAAGCATCGAATTGTTTATTGAGGGGATGAATATGATTCAGCAGTAAAGATAATCGGCAAAACGAAGGATGACAAAAACAATGGCACTGATTCCGATGGTGCGTGTCAGCTCCTTTGAAACGGTCAGGTAGTCGGTGAGCAGGTTGAAAATGTGAATGGCGCAGAAGTAGGTGGCGATGGCGATGGTGCAGAGGATGTCGGTCTGAAATATATGATATGAAAGAAGAAGTGTATGAGAAAGCAATAAATCATACAGTATACCGTGAACACTCTAATGGAGTACACCTTAAAGAATGCCGCCATTTTGGGTTCATATATCTCATTTCTTGTGAAAGATATCAAAAAGTAGTCAACTGGCAAAATGCTTGCCATAATATCAAAATCGTTTAGTCAGTTGACCACTCTCTCACATCTTTTACAAAAATCGAGAAAAATTGGCTCAATTATAAAATTTTTAGGTGCCGACATTCATCGGAACTTTTTAAAGATAGTTTCTTTCAAAGTTATGCAGTTATCAGAAAATGTTGTGCTTCTTAAAATCAATCAGCTTGGTGCGTTTTTTTAGAGTATTTTTTTACTCAACCAAAACAAGTGCTCGGTTTTTTTGAAAATATCATCAACCGTGTGGAAAATAGGTATTTTCTCTGCTAGCAGCCCATCCAAACTGTTATTTTTGAACTCAATTATCTCAATTGTTGTGAGAGGTATGAAAAACTTGTTAATTGATGAAATAATTATCATCAACGTACCTATATTTTATCAGTTGACAAGTGTTTGATATTTTTAACAGAAATCAAGATAATTTTAATAGAAATCAAGATAAAAGCGAGCAGAGGAAATACTAATTTTCCGCGCTGTTGATGATATTTGAACAAAGAAAAACCTAGCGCTTGTTTTTGTTGAATGAGAAAATACTTTAAAAAGACGCACCAAACTGGTTGGTTTTAAGAAGCACAACATTTTCTGATAACAGCGTAACTTTTATTAGAGGTTATACAGTATTACTTCATCATTTGTGTATTATGGAAAAAATCCAAAAACAGTTTTTTTGTAGTTTTTTTTATATTGTTTCTAGAATCTAATGAAACCAAGATTCCCTCCACTGTTTCAAATAACTATACAAGAAAGTGTGGCTCGTTTGACCGGATCGTCGTTTCCCGCTTTTTCCACAATGTTGCTGTTTTTGAATTTACCTCTTTGCTCGCCTCAACAAAAAAGAACTGCGCCATGAGGATGAAGCGGTTGACTTCGCAAATACCCAAGCTCATTTTTTTCTATTTGAATCAAATACAGATAAGAGTCTGTAATAAAAATCTGATAGTATAGAAGAAATACGAATGGCATAGGATATGAGCAGTATGGAGAGCGTGAAGAAGAATAGCGCCTGTAAATGGGTAGAGCATTAATAGGTTATAGGTGTCTCTTTCACGACATGGAAGAGCCCTATTGTTTTGCCTCCCTATGAAAGTGATCCCTATTTTTATAGCTTTTAATGGTTTTCCATTCAATAAGAATTGTCGAAAAAGAGAATGCACCACTCACGGTGTCAAACGACCTTGATGGGGAGCGAACGAAGCCTCTTCTGATTCCCAGTCTTCCCTCCTTCACGGACAATTTATGCAGACATGGGTGTCCCAGCGCCATTGTGAACGCGGTCATTAGAAGAATCCATTTAAGACAACGATCCATTTGGAGCAGCAGCTGTTTCACTTAAGGTTTTTCAAAATACAAGATGTTGACGTTTTTTCATGGACTTTATTTTCAAGCGAGCTACAAGAAAACCACAAAATAAAACAAACCAGAACAATTGGGACATTAAAAAAAGAATACTGTAATATTAAGAGAAGAGGAGGGAGGGGGGGGGGGGGGTGGTATGTACTTGCAAAGTTTTACTCGCTTTTTCGAAAGTTAAAAGTAGAAAAAAGAGATGATATTTTGAAAATTATGAAAGAGAGAGAGCTCGGAAGAAAGAAAAAAAATTATGTGCTCCTAGTCGGCAGAGGACCAATCCATCTCCGAGTCGTCTTCGTTGGCATTGGTGATTGCCGGTGTAAAATTTTCGTTTCTTTTTGGGACTACGAAAAATCAATATAATGTAGCTTCAGTGTTTAAATGTAGTTATGTGAAATTATAGTTGAAAAAACTCTCTCCATCTAAGATGAGAATACTGGAGAAAAGAATATCCATTGCGCAGATTTAGGTCTTACCTGATATGAGCTTTGAACGACTGGGTTCTGCTGGAATTGAGTTGGTCCCGAAATGAAATTGTTCCCATTTTGTTGGGTGCTGGCCGCACTTCGGTTGAATTGCGTGGCATTTATGGAGAACGGCTGGACCAGTTGCACTTGCTTGATCAGCTGGTTTGGTTGAGCTGCCTGAGCCGTCGAAGTGTTGTTCGAGTTGGTAATCTGAAACTCAAAAAATAGAGGTGTACAATAGGAGGGACGTTTTGAATACATCATTGTCCTAGCCAGGGATTCCTGGAACGGGAGTTGGTATTGAGAAAATGTTGACCGGAACATTTCCAAAGCTTTTTTTTTGAAATCGGAGATTTCAAGGCTACGGTATGTCAAAGGCGCACGCAAAAAATTTTCTCGCAGGTCTTGAACGGGATTATTTCTTTATTTTTTCGTGTTATCGAAATAGGTTTTTCAATTTTTTTTTCATTTTCCCCGTTTTTTCATAATAAATAAGAATTTCTACTCAAAATTCAAAAAGCGGATTATTCCGAGATTCCCAAACTATGAAACTTCAACAGAACATCCATGTTCTTCACTTGGCACTGTCAAGAAGTTAACATTCTCTCAGAACTAGGAGATATGCCGAGCAGGATTTCGAATTCAAAAAAGTCTTTGAAAAAGTTTCTGAGATGGAAAGAATACGGTGATTCTTACAGCTTCTTTTTATTTTATTTTCAGATAATCAGCTTTCAGTTCATACCATTTGCTTACAATTTCAAGGCTGATAAATATGCTTACCGATGGACCAGAATAGAGTTGTTGCGATGGCGAGTCTGGTGGCTGATGGAAGCGAGCCATGATGATCTGAAATTCTCACTTTTATTGATCTTTCCCTACATGTTTCAAAAAATCAAGAAACTGAAAAAGTTGCAGCAAATAAACGAGAAAATCTCAGTTTTCGTTCATTTCGGGTTACTTCAGGAAGGTTTTGGACTCATTTTTTAAAATCCCGCCAGAACTGAATACTCTCCAATTTTCGAGTTGACCTAAAAATTATGGTTTTGGCGGGAATGTAAGAAAATCCAGGACTTTCTAGAAGATTCAAGAAATGGACGAGGATTGAGATTTTTTGTTTTTTCGAGCGGTTTTCGAGGATTTTCAAACTTTCTTTGGCCAGAGTTCTCCCTATTCTTACTTACTGGCTCTCGGCGATAGTTCATGCTTCCACTCATGTCCATTCTGATGACGTTTGGTCGGTTTCGGTCCATCGAAAACGAACGTGGCATTTGGAACGGATCGTAACGCGTCTCCAAGTTCCTAGTCACCGTGTCCTTCTTCTTGGTTTGCTGAAAATTTCACAAAGTTCAAAAAAAGATCTGAATATGAAATAATTACCGATGGCATTTTTTGTGTTCAAAGAACAGAGCAAGTGTGTCACGTGTGGGAAACTTCTGAAAAGAAGCCAATTAGTAGGAAGAGGGGAAAATGGGGCTCACACCAAACGGAAAACAAGAAAACACCACAAAATCAAGAATCGGGAAACGTAGAAATTATGATATGTGAAAAATTAATAAACAAACATAGTGAGATCTTTGAGAAGGAAGGCATCTCAACCGTGAAGTTAAGTTTTTTTTCACGGATGGAGTGATTGCAAAATCAAAATGTGCATGCGAAAACACAACCCTACAACACTAAAAATCGGAAAATTAGAAGCAAAAAGAAAAAAACTCAAAAGTTGGAAATGTAATGGAGTGAACAAGCGTATAATTTTCCCACGAGCTACACTAACAACATATCAACTCACGTTTCCAGCTATAAAAACTTTGAATAATAAACTTGATATCAAATGGATATGACCATGAACCAGGAAAAAATCAGTGAGAAATCAGGAAAAAATCGAAGTTCTTTCATTTATGAGAAAATTAACAATAAATAACAAAAAAGAGCCGAAGAATGGCAAGTGTCAGGACATATACACAATAATAAAGGAGGCCTTGGTAATGTAACGAATCGCGCTCGAAGAAGCAGAATTTCAGAAAAGTTCCGATGAAGAAGCCAACCAACGGAGCAAAGACGTCCGTCTGAAAATGAATTTCGAAATTTGAAAACATTTTTCGAAATTGTGTGGAATAGTGGCTGTCGGGTCTATCTCAAAATTTGTCTTAAATGTCAAAACTTAACAAAAATCCTATTTTTTCAAATTTAAATGTTCCGGAGAAGGATTCCAGAGCCAGAAGAAAAACTGGGCCATCCAAAAACCCACATTTCTATCCACTATCCAGAAAACTCAAAAAATTGAGGGACTTACCGGGTCCTTGTAGCTGAGCACGTAGTTCTGGAGGATGTCCATCTCCTCGCGAGGATCACAGAAATCGGCTTTTAAGTTCAGAATATACTTCATTTCTGAAAAGTTAGCGGAAATTTTTTTTGAAAAATTTTGAAATTGGGCTCTCCATGATTTTTTGCGGTCCCACGAAAAAAAATTTTTGAAAATTATTTTCATGTAAAATTGAATTCAGCGAATAACTAAACGTTCAGCAAAATTTGATAATTAAGTAATGTAGTTGATGTTTCTCGGATTTCAAAAACTTTCCATCAAGACATGTTTTTTTTGCAGGGTCTTACAAGGGACCATGAAAATCAGAAAGAGCCTTTCTAAGAGGTTAGAGAAAAGTATTAGAAGTGTTCACAACACAAATACAAAAAAAAGAGACCAAACATTGAAAATTATACAAAAATCTTTATTAGGAAGTCGAAATCAGAGTCCGAAATGTGAGGAGCTGTCAAATGAGAATCGTTGTATACAATGATATATCAAAACTAAACAAAATTTGTAATATGAAACGAAACGTAATCAAAATATTAGGTGGAAGGATTTCGAATGCGTCGAAGTGGATAAAACTAAAAGAATATAGAGACATGAGATGTTGTATAAATATGGAATGGAATTTTTCGAAAATGAGTAATCTATTGGAAAAATGTGTACAGTGAAAGGAAGAAATAGCTCAATTTTCAGCTCGCGATCGCAATTTTCGAATCAACGTTTGTCCGACGGATTGCACCTGAAACTTTTTGTTAATTACATTATCCCTCGACTTTTGGTTAGCTCAATAACACGGAAAATGGTAAAATTAAAAAAATACATATTTCTGACATCAGTAATTTTTATAACGGCATTTTCAGAGTATCGTCAAGACTTTGATAGAAATCCATTTATCTAAAACTTTGACCTTGGTTATTTCAATTTTCATAAATGTTATCAAAAATGTTTCAACTGACAAAGTGTTGGTGATATCATGACAAAACTTTTATCAGTTCATACATTTGGTTATCTCTCATAGAAATAAAGATAATTGAGCTCAATCTTCAAATACAGGCTGGTCTTTTTTAATAATGTTCTTAGCAACTCCTCACTTACAATCAAATGACCCAATTTGAGCAACTACCGTTTTTCCTCTAATAGAAGCCTACCAAACCGTAAACTTCGAGCTCAATTATCTCCATTCCTATGAGAGATATAAAAAATGTGTCAACTGTTATAATGTTGATAATATCATGATAAATAGTTTATCAGTTGACGCGTTTTGGATATCTTGCACTGGAATCAAGATATCTATGCTCAAAGTTTACGATAAATAGTATGATAATAAGGTAAGAAAACACTCACGTAGTCCAAAATTTTCCGTTTTGGCTCCTCGACTTGCTTTTCTTCTTTGCCATCTTCTGCTTCGACAGGCGTAGTAGTTTCCGGAGCCGGTTCTGGAGAAGCCAACTCGATGTCGACTTCGAATTGAATCGAATTCAACGTGCTGATTGTCTGAAACATCTCTGTTCTCATTTTTGAAGAGTTTAAAAATCTCACCGAAGTACTGACAAATGGAGACTCTAGCAATCCGTTTCCGTCTTGTAGACCAATTTGAGCCATCTGTTGAAAAAAAGAGAATAATTAGATTTTCAGTTTAAGAAAATCAGATAAAAAATCAGGTCAGTGAACCTGTAGAATAGAAAATAGAAAGAAAAATTGAGTGCCCATTAGTGCTTTATTGAAAACATTACAACAAAAACAACAAATATTAACAACGAAATAATCGATGAACTGAATTTGAGCAGTAGAAGGCTACCCGCGATCACTGAAAGAAGAAATAATAGAAAACCTCAATTTTTTCTGATTACCTTTTTCTGATATTCTTGTCCATCTCCTCCTCCTCCTCCGTCTTTTTCCTCTTCAATTGAGCGTCGCACGGGTCACTATTGGGATCGTGACGCCGCTTCAGAGCCGGACGAGCGAAATCAACATTTCTGTTAATTTCCTGGAGATGGTCATCCTGCAAATTGTAAAATTTTTGTTTTTTTTTTGTTTTTTTTTGGTTTCCAAGAATATTTTAGAAATGCAAATTAGAATTGCTGATCTGCTTTTTTTGTGAGTTGATACATCTAGTTCGACGACATACAGTACTGGGCCATAAAGAATGCGACAACTTGTTTTTTGACGATAACTTTTTGAAAACTCAACTTTTCAACTCGAATTTTTTACTGTAGACACATTGGAAAGTTACGAAAACTTGCGTACTTGGAAATTGCATCATCTTGCAAACAAAATTTTTTTTCAATTGTTTTCATTTTTTTTTTCATTTTGCATATTTTTCATGATTTTTGGTTTTTTTAAATAAAGTTGAGAGACAACTAATTGGAATTAGTTTTAGTTATTGTTTTATTGTTTTTCAGATATGGTTAGACCATTCGGGAAAAAATCCTTCTCTGTGGACGAGCGAAAAAGCATTGTGCGTGGTCATGAACTCGGCGCGCATCCGAAGATACTTGCAACTCAGTTTAGTTGTTCTTCCAGCCAAATTTACCGTATTCTGAAGAAAAATCGAGATGATGTGAGGTTTCAATCAGCTTTCTCAACTAAATTTAACAATTTAGAATGGCGCTGTTCATCGCCAATCTCCAGGAAGACCCCGAACCACTTCCAGAAATATGGATCGGAACATTTTGCGCGCATGCCGAGAAGATCCTAGACGCACATCTACGGATATTCAACTTTCTGTGACGTCTCCAAATGAACCGGTACCATCGAGAAGAACTATTAGAAGACGTTTGCAAGTTGCTGGACTGCACGGACGAAGACCAGTCAAAAAACCACTCGTCAGTTTGAAAAACCGAAAAGCTCGCGTTGAATGGGCTAAACAGCACTTGTCCTGGGGCCCCCGTGAGTGGGCAAATCACATCTGGAGCGATGAATCGAAGTTCAATATGTTCGGAACTGATGGTATTCAGTGGATTCGACGTCCCATTGGCTCCAGGTATGCTCCACAGTACCAATGTCCAACTGTGAAACATGGAGGTGGATCTGTGATGGTTTGGGGATGCTTCTCCGACACTTCTATGGGACCATTGAAGAGAATCGTTGGAACCATGGATCGATATGTGTACGAAGACATCCTGGAGAACACAATGAGACCATGGGCAAGAGCAAATTTGGGCCGATCGTGGGTGTTCCAACAGGATAATGACCCGAAGCATACTTCGGGTCATGTCGCCAATTGGTTCAGACGTCACCGTGTGAACCTCCTAGAATGGCCAAGTCAATCTCCAGACTTGAATCCCATCGAGCATATGTGGGAGGAGCTGGAACGCCGCCTCAAAGGAGTCAGAGCATCCAATGCCAATCAAAAGTTTGCTCAACTCGAAGCTGCTTGGAAGAGTATCCCGATGACGGTGGTTCAGACGCTCCTGGAGTCGATGCCACGTAGATGCAAGGCTGTTATCGATGCGAAAGGATACCCAACGAAATATTAAATCACTTTTTATTGTTACCTTTATTTTGTTTTTGACCTCCGGTGTTTCTTGAGCTTCTTTGTATAGATCTCCAAAAATGTCATTTTCATGAATTTTCGAAAAATATTAATTTTCAAAAAAATTGTAGCAGAATATTAAAACCAACTTAGCCTAAAAGTTTTTGATAGTGCTGAAAAAATCTTACAAAAAATTCGGATTGAAAAGTTGAGTTTTCAAAAAGTTATCTTCAAAAAACAAGTTGTCGCATTCTTTATGGCCAGTACTGTATATCACCATTTGAATTTAGAACTTCAAGCTGAAGTGATATGAGATTCAAAATTTAAAAAAAAAACGTACCATCTCCTCAATCGAAGAACGACCGGAGTCATAGGCCTCCTCCTCCATCTCCTCCTCCATGTGGCCCAACCATGGGACATTGTGGCGACCATTTTCCTCCTCTCCATCTTCCATATTTTCTGCAATAGCAAAATTAGCAGATTTTCAGATAAATTGTTCAAACAGACAGACAGTTTTCACACAGGACAGAAATCAGGGAATAACACAGAGAACTCAAAAACCCAAAAATTAGGATAACTTAGGAATAGAAAAACTTTAAAAATCAAGAAACTTCTCACCTAGATTGGCGTTTGCGGCCGCAAAATTTTCAATCCTCATCGCTTCTTAAATGTAATGGAACATTTAGAAAATGATTTTTTTCCCTCAAAACTAGTAACTTCCTCTCCTCGTTCTCGCTCCTCTCTTTTCAGCCCAACTCACCTTCCAATCCCATCTCATTCAACCGATCCGGTACTGCATCGGCTCGTTGGAGCTGGCGTTGGGCCTCAAAGAGGCGGACGATTTCGTCTCGCTCGTTCTGGTTCATTTTCTGGAAAAAGAATCAAGATTCTGGAAAAAAGAATAATGGTAGGTACGAAATGGTGAAATAAACACCAAAAGTTCAAATAAAAATACAGGCAATGTAAGTTGAGTTTAATAGTTTATGTGGAAAATTTGAAACATTCAATTTTAGATAAATTGTTTTTTTTTTTTGTTAAAGTCGACAATGATTGTCTAGGTAGATCGATGGAAGATTGCATGGTCAATGTAGAGCTACTTCTGAAAAAAAAATTGAGAGAATTGAAAAAATCGAATAAATACTGTAATGTCTGTCATAGCAGGGTTCTCTAATTTTTTACTTTGAGCTAATTTATCTCTGTTTCATTCAAAGATAGGAAAAAGTTGTCAACTGATAAATTGTTTACCAAAATATCATAGACAAATTAGCAGTTGACAAATTTTTGATATCTTGTATGAGAGCCAAGATAAATCAGCTCCAGCTTAACAGTGTGTGGGTCCAATCGTATCACAGGTACTACGGTAAGTATGTACTATTAAGTTTCATTTCATTTTGAGTAGCAATACTTACAATCTAATTTAGAATTAAGAAACATCAATGTCGATCAAGGTCAAATCGTTCAAAGTTCATCTTAATAAGATTTCCATAAATTTTTGATAGCCATTTTAAACATACCAGGTGTCTGTTTTCTTTGAACTCCAACTCATTTTTTGTTTGAATCGAATTTTTTCATTGATCCATAGATGGCTTCCAATGTTGTTGATTTATCCGATGTCGATCGAAGACTGAAAATATGCAAAATTTTTGACAAATACAGATTTTCCTTTGAATTTCAATTGAAATTTGTTGGATTATTTTCCTAGCTGTGTTAACTTTCAGCTCACCGATTCGTTGTTTCTTTTATTCAGCAGGAGCTCAGGGAATGTGCACAATCCGGTCTGACTCGGGATCCTTCTTCTTCTTTCAGGATTTTTCCTCCATTGGAGCAGGTCCATTGGAGCAGGTACTTGCTGTTATCCATAATCCTCATTGCTATCCATGGATTTCGATGAATGTCCCTGCTGCTATCCATGATTTTCGTTATAGGTCCTTGTTGTTACCCATGATTCTCACTGATACCCTAAGGAAAAAGTCTACTGAAACTGCAAAAATTTGATCAATAAGTAGAAATTGAAATCTGGTAGCAGCCCAGTCAATCAGAAAATTGAACACAACAAAGTTTGCGTTATTAACATTTTTGTACAATTAGAGAATGGAAAAATTGTATTGATGATCATAATTGTGTTGAGATGTAGAGGATAAATTGATATCATCGAAACGGGACCAGCCAGAGAATACTGCGAGCTAGAAAATGTTCTTATGTGTTCTTAGAAAAAAAACTGATTAATTACCTTGTACTTATAGTCAGTCTTGGTGGTTGATAGCATTTGAATCCGTGACATCATCACACTAAAAATGATAAATAGTTTTATGCAGATTCTCATATCTTACATTCTCTATTGGCAACCACCAACCAACCACTCGTTTTGGGATGGCATTTAACAGCATTTCAAATTCCATCTTTCCGCTGGCTGTATCTTTCTCGATTCGGTATGGAAAGCATGCCTGAAAAATGTGAAAGTAGAATCTGTGAAAAAAGGAATATTACCATGATAATAGCTTTTTCTCTTGGGGTTTTCGATTCCAACGTCTCCCAGTTTGAGTCATGATTGTCAGAAGACTGGAAACGTGTTCAGTTGTGGTTGAAATCTTAAAACAATCTTACACAACCCAAAGACCAATTGATGCTCCGGTAGTGAGAAATCAGTTTTTCCAATTGGAAAGGGGTCTGAAAAATATACATTCTAGAAAACTCTTCGTTGCTGAAAGTCATACCAATTTGGTAGCAAGCCCACTCTCCTCTCGGTAGAATACCTCCTCAAATATGATGGATGATTAAGGTTTTGAAAAATTCCACTTACCCTGCACTCTTCTCCAACAACGTAACCGTTTCCAAGAGTTACTATGTCACCCTGTTGACCATTTTGCATGAGCTGTCGACCCACACAAGGGAATCCCGGGTCGTTTCGGTTTCCAAGACGCGCAATCAGTTCTTCGAGCTCACGAGAAGGCTGCATCGGCAAACTTGCTCACGCGAAAATCTGAAATTTTGGATCTGTGCTCAGATGTACCGAGCCTAAAGCAACCGAAAAGGAAAGAAGGGTTAAAGGAAACCAAACGAACTAGAAGCAAGGCCTAAAATGAGCATGCAAAAACTAAAAAACGGTGATCCGAAAATGAAAAAATATGTGATGAAGAGGAAATATTGAGAAACTGATCATAAACGTCAATTGTCTCGGTTCCTGTGTGAGATATAAAAAATTTATATACTGTGAAAGCGTTAATAACATTATTGTAAAATTTTATCTGTTGACAGATTTTTGATATCTCTCATATGTGCCAAGATAATTAAGCGCAAAGTGCAATCATAAAAGTAACAATATAACAGAGCAAACATAGTATAGTTTCATAGAATCCCACCCAATATGTGCACTTTGAGCTCAATTATCTCGGTTCCTATAAGATATATTAAGAATTTGTCAACTGATAAAAAATTGGGGATAACATGATAAATAATTTATCAATTAAAATTGTTTCGGTATCTTTTAAAGGAAACGAGATAATTGAACTCAAAGTTGATTAGAGTAAACGTGGTAATTAAAATAACACCAACAGGTTGTGAAACGGAAAAAAAAAATCAGTGCTTCCACAGTTCTGAAACCTTTTTACCTTTTCCATAGTTGATTCAAAAGTTTAAAATTGACTGCTGCAATTGTTTTGAGAAGGTTATAAAAAGAAATGATAAAATTACTAAATCATCAGCGTGACAATCAGAGTTGCAGGAAAAAAGTCATCAAATTCTCAGAAAAGCACTGTCATGCACACTCAGCTTCCAAGCTTTGAGCACTTCTTTACGTGGTTCCGTGTCTGGAATTTTCAATAAGAATCTGAAAGGAAAAAACCAAAAAAATAAAAAATATAACGAAATATAAATAATATCACAAACGAAAAATGTGACTGTTGTGAAACTTTGCAAAGCTGTGTACGAAAAAATTGAGCATAAATATTCGACACTAATAAGTTTGAGAAATTTTTGATTCCTTAATAACTCAAACTTTATGTAATTATCTAGGAAAAAGCCCGACTTAGCCGTTAAGATTCAACTGGTATCGGCTTTCCAGCATTTATGTTTGTGGTACCATCAGGAAGTTAGTTAAAAGTCAGATGGCAATTTCATCTCTTGGAGTAAACTACTGGGGAAATTATTGAAGATGCTGTTGTGCAATCTGCTGAACTACGCGGCGCCTGTCGATTTGTGGCGAACATGAGCATAATCTGGTCACTTCCTAAACTATGATGTCCCAACGCCCACCAAATCAATCAACTTATTTTTTCAACACCTTCCATTCTCAGGATCATTCCGTTGTTCATTATATGACGTCCTTGAAGCATTTGTTCCATCCCAGCTTTCAGACCAGCAGATTGAAGTTTGATTTGTTAACTCAGAAAATGTAGATACGAATTGATATTCTTCCAGTCACACAGTCCTACAATTTTTACATTTTTTGTTATATCCTCAAGGATTTTCTGAACTTACTTTAAAACCAGTTCTCCAAAACTACGAATATCAGTCACAAGCCGAAGCTTCACTTTGGATATGTCTCTTTCCAACATCGGAGTTCTTACGTTGCTCTAATTTGTCCGCCGACCGGATGAAAAGTCTGGAAACTACCATTAATTAGAAATTGAGAAGAATACCAAAAAATATAAGATAAACAATCTGGTTACAAACCAGTGGGTGATAACAAAAAGAAAATTGAAAAAATTATCATATTATGAGAGTGTGTTTATTAATCAAAAAAGGAAGTGCGGAAAATCATAATGATGTGTCGATGGAAGAATCGGAAGAAAAGGAACTTTCGAGAGGAAATGTACGTCTGGAAATCCAAGGATAAGATATAAATTCATCCTGATGTACTCACAGATAAGATGGGCGGGACGGAATACAATAAAGAGGGCTAGACATCCCACACCAGTGGTTGGAACTGAAAACAACATATAGCATTCAAAGCCTATGACGATCTTACGTCAGCCGGGAGGAAAAACCCGTAGAACACATCCACATAGTTATGGAGCATCTCGAACTCGAAGAGGGCGCCATTACCATCCATTTCAATTTTCTGCCAGAAGTTCTTCTTCAAAAATAGAAAATTGGTTAATTTAAACTGCCTCTTTAACTTTCAGCTTCAGGCTAATTCATCTCTGTCCATGTGTAAGATTTAAAAAAAAGGTCGACTGACAGAAAATTTGTCGTTTTGTCAGAAGTCTTCCTCTTTTTGATATCTTTCACAGGAACCGGAAGAAATGAACTCTACGACGTGGAAGAAGGGCATTCTGTCAGAGTGTTTAGGGTACTGTAAAACCTGTAATAGAAGAACCTCTTACTTTCAACTTCGAGCTAATTTAGTTTGGTTTCAGTCACAGATATAAAAAATATGTCAACTAATAAATTGTTTTTCATTAAATTATAAATATTTTGTTAGTTGACTTTTTTATATCTTGAAAAAGACTTGAGATAATTGAGCTTAAAGTTGACAGTGTGAGGACCTTTCTATTACAGGTTTTACATTCAAGTTTTCTTGAAAATTTCCGTGAAACCTGTGTTAACAAGAGCTTTGAAATTAAAGACCACCATCGATTGAATCGCCCCCAGAAGACCTCATGGAAAATGAAAAGCCAGCTCTTTTACTACAGGTTTTACAGTTATTTATAAAACTATTAGGTTGTGTCGAAAAGTAATGCGCGTATAGTGCAAACTACTTTGACTTCCAGTAATCGTAGCTCTTCAAGAGAGGCATTGAATCTTTGAGCATGAGTTGCTAGAAAGTGGTTGATGATGATGGAAAAAAGCCTGTTGATTTGTCTTACCTTGTTTAAGTTTTGCATGGTGTTGAAAGAAATCAAAAACGCGCATTACTTTTCGACAAACCTGATAAGTTTGAGTATCTATCGTCTCTATTTCGAAAACCCACGAAAACTTCTTCCTGGCGCCGCTTGTCATTTGATACCACCTCCGATGACTGCAAATTCCAGAACACATTTTTTAGGATTCCTTATTCTCTACCGTTCCTAGAGACCAGTGGATCTCATGGTATTGGTTGGCCAACTTCCGGCGCTCTTTATTATTCTGAAAAGCGCGATTTTTCTTCTATGAACTGTTCACAACACTTACTAATCTCTTGGTGAGTCCGCCGACGTCATGGTAGTAAACTGTCTGGAAAGTAACTAAATTTCAAATTGATTTCAAAAATTTCAGTGTTACCTGATCCCTGAACTTTACAATATAGCCACTGGCAAGAGGTATCGTTTCTCCTGCTCCATGTGAGCCTTTGACTCGTATCGCACAGGGAAAACGGTCATGTGGTCGCGAGTGATGGGTCCGAATCATGTTTTGAAGTTCTTCGGATGGGGACGAAAATTTGACCATGTTGAATCTCAAAAAACACTGCATTTTCTGGTGGTTCGAGGAAAATGAAAATAGAGATATATTGAAATTGGTTGAAAACCACGAATAAAACGTAAGATAAAAATAAGTAAGTCATTTTGAAAATTTATTACAATCAGACGGCAATCTTCGCTTCAGAAAAGTCCCAAAGACGGAGGATAATTGAATACACGATGAAAGAAAACCAGAAAAACATTTAAATAACATTAGACAATGTATTCAAAAGTGAGACTGATCCAAGCCCAAAATATTGATCGTCTGTTGCCGATAATGATTTTTGAAAAAGAAAGGTTTCAACCGCCAATTAATTTCATAGAGGAGGAGCAATGTGTTGAGCCATAACAAGAAGTCAATAAATTTGATAAATTATTGGTTCCCGCTTCGCGCCACCCGTGATAAAGAAAATGAACAGACTTGAATACTAGGTGCTCTTTCACTCCTCCTTGTTCTCCTTGACGTCCTTGTTCTCATCACGATTATCCTTTCCAATACCTGGTTGGACATAGACATTCTGCAGTCCAAGCGAGACTTCCCAGTGGGAGTAAGAACCGGAGACAAGTCCATCGCGAATTACCTGAAGACGCATGATGATAAGGAAACAACTTTGACTGAATTAAAAATACCGTCAAACATTCTCATAGAAAACTCTATACTCTCACTTTGAGCTCAACTATCTCAATTTATATCAAAGATGTCAAAACTGGGTCAACTGATAAAATTTTGGTGATGATATTTCAAACATTTTATCAGTGGACAGATTCTTGATGCGTCTTATGAAAAATGAGACACTTGAGCTCAAATTTGGGGTTTGCGGTGGCCTTCTATTTAAGTTTTTCACAAAATTTAGATTTCTAAAAAAAACATTTTAGATTTTGTAGGATGAGCGTGGAAAACGTTAATTAACACAATTAAAATGTGAAATGTTCAATTGACAGCTTTTTTGTATAAATTGATCCTAATTAAACCAGCTACCGGCTTTTTCAGGTAGTTTTGACACTTGTTTTGCTTTAGGTAGGATGTCTCATTTGGATGGATTTTTAGAGAAAAGCTGTCAACTACAAAACTGAATCTCTATTTTTAATCAGTCGACTTGGAAGTTTTCAGTCTCATCAACCAGATCTTGCAATGTTTCTTGGGTCTCCAAATTTAGAAAAAAAGAGAACTTAAAAAGAGTTGAATTTTGAAAAAAAACTTTGGATTTTAAAGATATTTTCAGATTTTCAAAAACTTGGGAAACATTTAAAATCAAAGTTTTCTTAAATGAATTTTCAAAATGATAATCATAAATAGATTTTAAAAACATAATTTCTTCAAAATCCAAAATTTTCTTCAGAATCCAATTTTTATTCTTTTAAAATTCAAAATAACCAATTAGAAACATGATATAAATGAAAACTTACAGCCTTACGATCATGACGGTTCAAACTCTCAAAAATCCAATCAGCAACCTCCATATTTGGTGGACATCCCTCCAAGCAGTCTTTCGCTTTCTGAAATTTCAAGCTGATACAAACAATGGTTGATTACAAAAAAACTCACTTCCATGATTGGATTCCAAGCAGACAGGACTTGAAATTCTGGAAATGAAAACATAGTTAGAGAATAAGGGAAAGTATGAAAATTATGATCAATCTCTAGAATATCTCTTTTATGAATGGTTAAAGCTAATTTACTGGCGTTTTTGCAATGGTGGCCAAGATTATAAGATTAAAAATATCAAGGCAGAGCATTTTTGAAAAATTCTCCTACACTAAAAATGTGAATATAGCCGCTCAGAATATAAGCTCACTTTTCAGCAAAAACGAAAATTCGGAATGGCAGTTGACTAACACTTTCGGATATTTTTCCGGTGTTTAAATGCTCAATTCAGAAAAAGAAGTTGTGATAAATCGAATATGACATATCTACCGCGATTGTCAAAATTTTCTAGAGGGTCTGCTGTTACACAAATTTGAGAAAACAATTTTGTATGAAGTCTGAACCAGTATACCACAATTTTTTCTAGTAGGGGCTCCAAACTAAAAATCAGGCAGAATATAAATTGAGAGTGAAGAGCTAGAAAGCAAACGTTGAGACGAAAAAACGACTTAAAACACATTCTCTGAGTGAATTGAGATCGGGTCAACAGGCAATGGCAATGAAAAAATTCAAAATGGTTTTAGGAGTCTGATATTGTATGTGGTGTAAAAGTACCATATTAGTACTAGAAACGCAAACCTGAAAGGTTTGAGTCGATATCATTATTTTGAACGAAAATAATTTTTGGGGGTTACGGTAATTTGTCGCGCCCAGAAAGCTGCGTGGCCTATGGGTACCAATGTCAAAAGTCTTACATTTAGAGTAGCCCCTATACCCACCACATACGATACAGACTCGTAGAACCATTTTAATTTTTTACATTGCCTGGTGTTTTCGAGTTTTTCAGAGATTGTGCCTTAATGTGCTCGAAAAGAAAATGATTCCGACAGTTTCAAAATATTGGGTATTTAATCTCCTTTATACTGAAACAACAATATTTATGATTTTCTTTTTAATTATTTCCTAGACACTAACAAAAACATCTTGAAAATTAAAAAAACCCACTCATTTTCGATTCTCAATATGGCAAACTGGTTGTCCTTTCTCAAAGATGAAGACGGTTCTGCAATTGAATAATTAAAAGATATGACAAAGTGAGTTTTTGTAGAAGCGGGGAAATGATGAGAATCAAAGTGTTGTGTGTTTTGTTCATACGCAATGGCCCGCCGAAAAAATATCAAAAATTGGATATTTTATGTGTAAATTTTAATTTTGTTAGGACATTTATGCGTTTGAAGTATATTGTTAATTCTAAAGTGTGGTTATAATATCTGACTCAAAGATATTATTGTTGTCCGAAAAAAATTGAAGTTGAGACGCAGATAGTTAATCGAAAAGTTTATCTGCGTCTCCACTGAATATGTGGTATTAAGGCTTGTCGCTTCGAGGTACCTACCGTATTCAGACTGCAAAAAATACTCTCTAACTCTAATTTTTTCGGACAACAATAATATTTAGTGTTTACATCTTAAAAATTCTCAGTTTTTCAATGTTGATTAAAAGTGGCAAGATTTTCTGAGAAATCCCAAAACCCATAAAACTCGATAGAACATTAAGAAAACAGGAATGGAGATATTTCAGAATTAAAAAGATTTTCAAAAAAAAAAATAAAGAAACAGATACATGACAGACTAAAACAGAAATCTTATAATAGTATATTCTTCCAAGCCTCTCCAAATGATATATGTATGAGTACTCAACGACCTCCCTTCCACGTAAGCAGCCACTTTTTGATTTTTTCAGATATTCTTTTCAAAATTTCAAAATTAAAATTAATTCAATAACAACTCCGGTTTCAAAACAAAATCATAATCTTTTTAGTATTAGCAGAAAAAAAAACGAATGAAAAAACAACAGAACGAATGGGTAGTGCAAATTGACACCCATCTTTTTAAAATGAGGTCCATCTTTTGAGAATTTGAAAAATCAACGTTCTGTCAGCATTGTTAAAGGGAGGAGCCAAACATTCAATTTTTTGAGTCATGTGATAATTATTTTTTCGATATTTACGATGGAGGAAAAGACAAAACAGTGAACCTAGTTATCCAATTGAAAAATATCATGAAACATAACAGAATAGGAATTCCATTATTTCATAATTGGAAAATCTAATCAGTGCTCAAAAAACACACTGGATTATCGATAGCCGAAAAATTGGGAAAATTATTGGAGCTGTAAAATTAGAAAGCCGGTGGTTCAGAAAAATGAGTTACTTTTACTGTTCTCAATAAATTTCCAAAAAAACAGTAATCACATTTACCATAAACACCCTAAGAGAACGCCACCCCTAATTTTTAACTTTGAGCTTTTTTTTCTCAGTTCATGAGAATGATATTTAAAAAAAAGAGTTTAACTGATGTAATATTTTTAATATTTTGAAGAACATTTTCTCAGTTGACAACTTTTTGATGCTTTTAATATGAGATAAGATGTACAGTTTCTAAATTGACGGTTTAGGTGGCGACCTATCAGAGTTTTTACAGTATATCATCCATACTTGTAAAAAAGATGGCCGGCCCGCGGGCCGGCCCGCTTTTTGAAAATTTCGAAATTTTTGAGCAAATCATCATTTTTCAAGATGGCTTTTCGCCTTAATAAATAAAAATCCACGCTAGAGGACGATTCTGTTGAAAAAGACTGTTTTGAGGTCGTTTTTAGAAAAAATTTCATCCTTGGCTTAATGAAGTTTGATTTTTTTGCTAAAAATTCAATTAAATTGACTTTTTTTGGATGGTTGTATGCATTTGGATTAATATTTGTGCTATTAAAAATATATTGGCACATTTGAAAAGTAACATTTTCAAAAAGTTGTCCTAGGCGGGCCGAAGGTTTTGAGGCAAGCGGGCCGGCCCGGCCATCCACATGTATGAAAAATATATTGGCACATTTGAAAAGTAACATTTTCGAAAAGTTGTCCTAGGCCGGCCAGCGGGCCAGGCCGGGCCGGGCGGAGGGTTTTGAGGGAAGCGGGCCGGCCCGGCCCGGCCATCCACATGTATGATATCATCTAGTATGAACGTCCTTATTCTCCAACATCACAGCCACTAAAATAAAAGAACACGTGAACCACGAAAGGTGTCGTAAATCAAACTTCAAAACTTCCGCAAAGAAAGCAGCACACAACATAAACCTGCGTATCCAAGTTACTTATTGTTGAGAGAAATTTAGATGACTGGACGAGATAAGAAAAAAGTTTAGAGTTGCTAACTACAAAAAAAGAGAAGCTAATGAATTCCTTGTTAGAAAATTGAATGATCAACTCTGAACTAACCATCCCTGAAAATTTATAGACTCTCAAATTCTCAACTAAATGTGAACAAAAAAAAGAGATATGAAACATAAAATTCTATGGGGCCGAATTCGTCTTTAAATTAAAAAAGATTTACTTTTCAAAATTTCGAAAAAACCAGCTTGCCGACATAATGTTTTAAAGGAGAAACGTACATTTTAGAAAACCTATTTCATTGGATATCTGGCGACAAAAAATGGGTCCGTATTTTCTCTGACAGGGCCCCACTAAAACTAGTAACTTTGACCTCAATTATCTCGAATCCTGAAAAAAATATCTAAAATTCGTCAACTGATAAAATATTGGTAATATTATGTAAAATAATTTATTAGTTAACAACTTTTTTGTATCTTCTACAGGAACCGAAATAATTGAGTTCAAATTGGAAAGTTTGGGTAGGTTTTTTAGAAGAGAGCTGTGGATATTCAAATATTGATTCATAAAGAAACAGTCACTGATACAGAAAACATAATTCAAACTTCCCGCCATAAAACCAAGAGCAATGTTCCTGCGTCTCTTCCAATCGCGCTCAGTCTCTCACATGCAGCTGTTAGAATTTTTTGAAAGCAAAACATATACATAGAAAATTGAGAACATGGGATCTCTTGTTTTAGGAATACGTGAGAGACTGTTCAAAAGAGAAGATAAGAGAGAAATGTGTAGAGATCATTCACGAGATCAGATTGATACAAGACAAATTTCTTTGAAATGGCACAAAAAGAATTGAAGGAACAATTTTTGAACATGGGATGGGAAGAAATTGAATAAGTACAAAATAATGAGATGAGGTGAGGAAGATTTGTGAGAAGAGTTTTTGAAAAAGACAAACAATACTTTTGGAGAATGCTCCTTTCACTTAACTACCATAAAAGTTTGAATGATGAAAACTACACTAACCTACCTAAGTAGAAAACATCATTTTCTACAATGACTCTTCTTTCGAATTAACTGACTTTCTGTAGTCTCTGGTGAGTGTGAACCAAAAAGAGATTGACGAGAGCAGAAGTGACAAAAAAGCAAAAAAAGAGGGTGCGCATGGACGAGACTCTTTTTATGGATGAGGTCTTGTCTCACAAGATTTTGAAAAAAAAACAGGATGCCGGTGATTAATGATTGGAACATATTTGTAAAGGTCTGATTCGGCGAAATCAAAGTTTTAGGATTCCTAGATAATCTTTACAGATTATGGACAAGAATCTACCAAGCCGCCTCGCTATCTTCAAATCTAGGTTTCCAATTTCAAGTATAAAAGATATTACATTCACCGGAATCTATAGTAACAACTAGAAAAATTCGAAAACTAGTAAAAATCAAACTTCCCGCCGAAAGCAGCGATCAACAATGTCTGCGTCTCCTAGCCGCACATAGTCTCTCACTGCTGCTAAAACAAAACATCTACACGGACAAGCGACCTTCCAGAGACAGCAGGTGCCTCTAAACAATTTGAACTGTTGCAATCTCATAGAGACAGCAACAAAGCACGTGCATATGAATGAAAGTGAAAGTGGAGAAAAATGAAGAACTCGCATCGACACAAATTGTTTCGACATAAATGTTCTTCTGGTCTTTAAAAATTCAAATGATTGAGTTTTTTGTGGTTAATGTAGATACGGTAAAGAGAGTTAGAGCACAACAAGAATGAATTATGGTAGACACGAAAAAAAGACAAGAAGGGAGGGAGTGCGCATTGACGGGAGCTCATTTTATGGATGAGGTTTTGCCCCCAAAGATTTGCAAAAACCAGTATTCGGACCTCATTTCCTAGAGAAGGTGGCCAGTAATTGGGAAATATGGGGAACGAAAAATGAACATCACATAGCAGAATTTTGGCTCTTTGAATTCAAGAATTTTCTTCAAAAAACAAGGAGAGCAATGATTCAAGTTGAAATCTATTAATCCAGCAGTCTCTTTTCACATTTAGAGTTCAGTTTTGACCAGTTGAAACCAATTACAAGTTTCTGCACCAACTAGTAGAATACCAACATTCAAAACTCCCGCCAAAAAACAGAGAAGTATTTCTGCGTCTCCAAGGTGCACGCAGTCTTTCTTGTGCGCACGCAAAAAAGTTTTGGGAAATCAAAACATTTATACAAGCTCACTAGACGTTGGCTGTCTCTATTCTTCAAAATCTCAGAAAAGAGACTGTTGCTTTTGTTCCGGGTGTATGAATGGCAAGTTCAAAAGGGCACAGAAATTTCCATATACTTTTTCCGTTTCTTGAAAAGTCAGAAGAAACAGAAGAAAACAAAAAAATTTGTACAAGATTACAGAAAATAAATCTTGGGGTACAAAACTAGAAAGATGAGAAAAAGGAAAATTTGTATAAAGACAAAAAGTGGGATTATTTTCGAGGCTGCTCGGCCGACCGCCATAGAAGTGCGCCTATTAACCAGGTCGTTTAACAAATTGGAAGAAAAGAGAGGAATAAGTCGAAATGCCAGCTTTCTGATTGAATGTAGCTCATAAAACTAAAAAAAAAACCGTCTCGGAAGACTTTTTTGGGGAATGGAAAAAAAACCCAATCTACCACGTCACAACTTTTTTCCCCAAATTGCAGTATTTCAAAAATAGAACAATGTTCATTTTTAACATTTATTTTAAAAGACGGAGTGGGTTGAAAGAGAAGGAGAAAGGAGAAGAAAAAAGAGGGGGAATTCAAAAAAAGAGAGATGAGAAATAGTGGTGGTTGGACGCCCGGGTACCGTAGCAAAGTGTATGTACACACAAAAAAGAAAGAAAAAATGTACATCGACTCCGCCGATGAATGTCTTTTTGGCACTTTGGTAGAAAGGAACGACGTCATAGGGAAAAAAAAGGTTTTGGGGCTATTTGGGAGAACACCATATCACGTGGAGGCGGAAAATTTGAATTTTATAAGTAAGTGTCTAGAAATAATTGAGTTAATTGGGAGATAATATTATCCAAAGTTGAATCTTGTGAGTTAGGAGAATGTTGAAGATAATTCTGCCTTCAATCCCACAGATAGCTAGAAGTTTTGAAACTACAACTTATTTTGAAATTCCCTCCCGCAAAATCCCAAAAAAATGTGCTCACATGCACCCCTACATAAAACAAACTAACCTCATTTTATTCCTGCTTTGATTGCCCATTTTCGGCCTCCGCCGCCGCCACGAAGCCATCGTAAATTTATCGATAAAGCAGCTATCGGTGAAAAATAGAACAGAGAAGCAAACAACCAGGAGAAAAAAACCAAAAAAAGGGAACCAAAATCAGCAAAAAAGAGATGCACTGAATGAAAGAGAGGTGTAGAAATTGGGGAGATGGAAAAATAGAAAAGAGAATGAATGCGCCCTACCCAATGATAGTATGAGAGAGAAAGAGATACCTGACGCAGAGAAATCGGGAGAGGAAGGATGGAATGGGGTAATGTCTGGAAATGTTTTAATGGAACTTCCTATTGTACTTACGAATCCAGAGGTATCCGGGTACAGAGATAAACCGGGGATATTCGGAATGGAATTTAGAGTTCTGAAAATTCCAAAAAAAAAGATAATCGGAATGAAACTTCTGTCGGAATATTTTCAGAAGATTTTTTTGGAATTAGAGTTTTTTGGACCACGATATGTGAAAGGTGCACGCTGGTCTCGAGCGGAATCAATTCTATAGCTTCTGTAGGTGGGCAGTGGGATTCCGAGTTTCCGAAATTTCTTAAATCGGACTATTGACAAATTTAAATTGTCGGAATTTAAAAGATCAGAACTTTTGGCATTCCGAACATCCCTGATTCCTCTATGTCCTGGGAAAGCATACGTATGAGAGATATGTTTTGCTTTCATTAAGCCGTAATTAGAGAACGAAAGAACGAGTCATATGACGTTCAAGATGTTTTGATGCATAACCAGGGTACTGTCTTTGCCAAGGTCCCAAGAATTTTGAACAAATAAGTGTTCACGAAAAAAAGAAAAGTGGGAACAAGTGCATAATGTGGATGAGAAAAGAGTTATAAGTATCGTCGGAAAGATGATGGTGCTCATTATGAGGTAAGTCACAAATGCAACCTACAAAACTCACAATATTGAAGCTCACTGAGCACCAACCCGGGCCGAGTTCATGAAAAGCCGCACCTAGATTTCTAAGCTTCCAAAATGTGAAACGTTTTAATTCGGGATCTGACCACACGAGGAGAGTAAAGAGTAAAAACAAAAAGAGAACATCTACCCTCATTTAGTTTTGAACGTGTGGCGAGAGATGAAAAAGGAGAGGAGCGACGACAGAAGGGGGGGGGGGGGACCGCGCAAGGAAGACGACCCCCGCCCGTGAATGCACTTTTGGACAAGAAAACTGACGAGAGCACTCGGGTGGTAGTGGTCGTGGTGGTTATGTGTGTGTAGACGAAGAGCGCGGACGATACAGACGATTTTGACATTAGATGGGGGATGTTTATGATTTCGGGCGGCTGGCACCTAACTCGAAAACAGGGGAAGCAAGAAACGGTCAAAACAGTATGAAAAGAAAGAAGAAGAATATTTATTTCGGTGAAACAGAGAAAAAAAAGGAAAGAGAGTCAAAAACGATATGATAATCGTGTGGGAACATCTCGGGAGGTGGGGAAGGAATGGGGAATAAAAAGGAAAAAATGCATGATAGGAAGCGAGGAATACGACTTTTTGTGTGTGTGTGGGAGGGTATATGTGACGTGTAGAGTAAATAATAAAATGTGATTAAAAAAAGAGTCATTGGGATTGGGGGAACAGATATAACCGTGATAACATTAAGACTGATAATTGAAAGCTATGTTTATGCAGTATGAGAGCTCATTTGGCTATTTTCCGCAATTGAAGCCGGTACACACTTGTTAAACTGTCCCGACACCTTTGTTATCCACCTCCATGCAATATGTGTGGACCACCTGGAAATTGGTTTGATCAAAAAGTTAATACCGCAACTACCGTACTTGCTCTAGTAGCATACTCGCTAAATCCCGGCCCGGCCCGGGCTCTACATAATTCAAAAGTTTTCAGGACCCGTTTCAAAACTGAGAACAAAGACATTTTGATAAAATGTTCACAAAAATCCAAGCTTCTTTCAAAAAATGATTCTCAAAAAATGTTGCCTCAAAATGAAGCTCACCAGAGGCGTCAACTTTGAGCTGAATTATCTCGAATCCTACAAGAGATATCAAAAACTTCTCAACTGCAAAAGTTTTAATAATATTATCAGCAATATTTCATCAATTGACAAGTTTTTGATATCTTTCATAGAAATTGAGATAATTGAGCACAAAGTTGACAGTGTCCCATATTTACTTACTCCTTTATTGTACTCCATCGATTGTCTCAAGCGCCAGACTTCGTCCTCATCATCATAATACTCCACAAACTTCTCAAAGCAAATAGAGCAACTTTTATTAGTTGATTCGGCAGTTGGGACATCCTTATGAACAATAGTCGTGTTTTCCATCAACTTCGATTTTTTGGCACACAGCCAATCTTTTTCGGATGGATACCATTCTTGGGATTTGACCACCGCTTTTGAATCTTTCCGCCAAAAACGAGGTATTTCGTCCAGACTGTCTCTCGTGTGTTGATCGATGTGATCTCTGGTCTCTTGCTTTTGGTAACGAGGGTCATTGTTTTTGAAGCTGCACTTTTTACAAAGTTCCGGTCTTGGTTTAAGTAAATCTTGAATGAGGTGTTGTGCACGAAAGTTTCCAGGAACCAGCCTCTCGGTGACTCGATCCCAAATTTCTTTTTCTGTTGCAAGCGGCTCGATGGTGTGACTCTCGTCTGGTAGAATTTGGGAGCTGAGGAATTCCATCAGTTGGTCTGAGTTGAAAACTGGTGGACAGAAACCTTCCAGTTGGAGAACTCGACAAAATCGGAGCCAGGATTTCTGGAACAAGAAAAGCAGGGGGAATTTCAGAATATAATATAAGACTCACATGAACTCTGTCAGCACTTCGCATCTTTTTTGCCGGTGGCGGTAATGCAACCAATTTACATTTTGGTCTGTCCGGAGGAGAGAGAATGTCTTTGGGATTTGTTTGAGATGTTCTGAGCAAACCCCCGGGTAGCTTCAATTGCAAATCGGAAATCCATTCGATCGTTTTCCGGTTCATAAGTTTCTCAACCATAGCCAAATCAAGAGGTTGCTGAAAATTGTGAACATCTGGAACATTAAACACAAAAGTCATACCTCTAAATTTTGGTGGCCATCATTTCGAACTGTCACATCTATCGCTTCCTGACTTTTTGCACAGCTCGCGGAATCGCATTCAGACTGCGAAATGATTTTTTAGAACAGCAATTCACTTATCAAAAATTTACGTGAGAATTGCTGGAGGTGATAATGACGGGATAATAGGAGTTTGAGTGTAGGAAGGCAACAGATCCATTTGATCAAATCGACTTGGTCTTTGTTTCGGTAAAAAATCGTGTTCCATTTGTGCCTGTATAATGTGAATAATAAAAGAACGCGAGAAAGAAGAAGAGAAAAAAAGAAAAAGATCATAGACCGTTTTTGTACACACACCATTCAATAAAAAAGAGAGAAAACCCGCTGTTGCACAATGGCACCTGTCCCAGCCGGCATTTTATGACGTGCTGTAGGTTGGACACAAGAAAAATTGTAGTAGTAGGAAGAGCAATATTAAACTTAAAGATTCGTATATTTCTGATTCAGAAAATCAGATAAATGTATACTCGGGTGGAACAATGATTAGTTCTGGTGAAAAAAGAAAATCAATCTCATTTTTTTGCATGAGATACATTAATCCAAATGATTTTTCGATGCGAATATATGCCGAGAGCAATTTGCTATCCTTTTTCTGTTAGAGCGAACGAGAACAGAAAAACACTGGAAGAAAAATCAGACAAGAAAAGTATGTGTTCCAAGACAAGGGGTTATTTGATATCTTCAATCTTATACGACACAAACTAAAATGCATACTTGTCAAATTCCAAACCGGGCCGGGCCTGATGAAATTTTCAAGGCCCGGTAGCAAAAATTTTGTCATTTTGAGCCCAATTTTGAGCTCTCAATACAATTTTCTCCATTTAGTCTGTTTGATCAAAAAAAATAAAAAAAAAATCGAAAAAAATTTTTGATCGAAAAAAATTACATAAGGGTCCCCCTTATGTGTTTTTTGAAATTTTCAAAACTTGTGGAATGACAGGCCCGCCGAGCCGGGCCTCCGAAATGCGGGAAAAAGCCCGGCTCGTTACAAGTATGCTGAAATGTATTTTTAAATTTACAATAGACATGAAAAGAGTTATGCTTGTCGGCGTTTTAAAAATGTCGGTATCATTGATTTTACATTGATTTCAAATACCTTTTATTTTTCGCACTAAACTAGCCGATGAGAAAACTAGAAAGATTTTTTTTCAACCAATGGAGAAAAAAATTGCGTCTCATTTTTTTAAAACTTCAATCTCCGGATACTTGCCAATTTCTGAAAGATGCCCATTTTTGGGCCATTTTTTACTAAAACATAAAAAAAACACAACTTATTACTCCCCTTTCATTCATATGCACGTGCTTCCTTGCTGTCTCCGAGAGATCGCAACAGTCCAAAATCTATGCGTGTAGAGAGGCAGCTGCTGTCTCTGGAAGGTCTCATGTCGGTGTAGATGTTTTGTTTTAGAAGCTGTGAGCGAGAGACTGTGTACGGCTTGGAAACTCAGGCATTGTTTACCGCAGATTTCGGCGGGAATTTGATTTTTGATATTCTACTAGTTATCGCTGATAAGTGCAATAAAGTTCAGACTTGAAAATAAAATCCTAGATTTCAAGAAATTGAGGGCTCTTTGTGAATTTTGAAGTCCATAATTTATAAATGTCATCTAAGAATCTTGAAACATTTGATTGTTGATGTAAAGTAGATTCAAAAGAAAAATAATTGTATCACCTAATTATACATTTTCCCAGTTTTTCAAATCAAATTTCAAATTTGTGATTTCCGGAAATCTTTCGAAAAATAATCTCAAAAACTCACTCCAAAAGTGAGCAATCAGCACTAAAATCACTTGAACCGCCGATAACTCGACTTCTAAAATTTGTGCAGAAAACCAAATACACCACGAGAAAGCCAGTATTCAAAACTATAAATGAGGAAATTTAGAACAAATTCTAAGATGACGGCTAAACAAGGTTCCCTTGTGAGAAAGGTTTTGAGCATCTTTAAGTTTTGGAATGTAATTTCAGAGATATAGTGAGAGAAAATTCAAAAAAGTACAATTTATCTGGTTTCCTTGTTCTTTCTTTGGGTCAGTGCAACATTATTCTGGGTTCTGACAGAGAATACGTCTTAGTGTTTCGCAATTCACAGCTATTTTCTTAGGCTGAGGCTTCGCAGCTATTTTCTTTCACAGCGTCATATGTTTTCATCGCTTATCTCCTTTTTAGGGTCTCATTCCAGTTTTTTTTATGTCAGTTCACAGAATTCAGATAAGGAAAAACTTCAAAAAGTTTCATCAAAAAACATTTCGGGAGACCAGGGTCACATCATTGTAAAAACTGATTGAAAAATGTTTTGATTGTTTTGAGATTGCTTATTGAGATGGCGCGAGCAGAAAGCCCTCAGTTTCACTTCTTCTTCCACTTTTGTGTTTTGATATCAAAAATTTCATCTGAAGTTCAAAGCTGCAAGTTCTTTTGGACCCGTCTCAATCAATCCTCATTTCGTACCCATATCATGTTTCACGCAAAGAGAACAGAATGTGCAAAACTACAACATTTGCATTTCTGTCTTTTTCTTCTTTTATCTTTTTTCTTTCGCTTCTATTTCTCGTCGGCTCTCGGTTTTTCTGCTCTCGTGTGCTTTCTAATTTTTTGTCTTTTAGAAGAACCATTTGCAAAATGTCAAACTCTCTTCAAGAACTTCATCGATTGCTGGTTGAAAGTTTGAGAAGAGACAATCAGACGATTGAGAGTCTTCAAGTTTTCACTCAGGTATGCTTGAATTGAGGAGTTTTTGAATAGTTTTCTTTTTCAGAGAAGTAATGCTGAACCAACTGTCCAGAAACATCAAGTCAAAGTGAACCAAAACTTGAGTCTTGACGAACTGATGGGAGCACTGAAGGAGTGTATGACGGACTCCATTGAGACGATTAATTGCATTATCGAGGAGAAAAATGACAGCGAGGTAAAATAGAAGATACCGTAAACACTCTAGAAGAGTGTCACCCAACTTTGAGCTCGATTATCTCGACTTCTGTAGAAGATATCAAGAAGCAGTCAACTGATAAAATGTTTATAATAATTCCAACCATATTTTGTCAGTGAACCACTTTTTGAAATCTTGCAAAGAGCATGAGATATACGGGCTCAAAGTTAATGGGTTCGGTGGCACTTTATTAGAATGTTTACTATAAATTGTATGCTCATTTAGATTAACTAAACGAAACGAGATTATTTGTTTCACAATTTCTGCTCCAGGACAGTTTGTCACAGTGATAATAGAGGAACATAGAGGTTTTTAACGAGAAAAACAGTTTCAGGGTTTGCATAGATTCTTTCTCGAATAGAACACAGCTTGGAATTCTGAAAACTCAAAAAATTTTTTTAATATCTGAAATTAGAAATTTGCAACTTTTCGTATTGCAGAATGTGTTCTATCAAAAACAAAACATTTTACATTCCCCAAAGAAAAATGATCACGTCTAAAACCTATTTATTTATCTGCATTATCCGCGAAATGCCCCGGAGCCCTTATTTACGTCAAAATCAAAATATTCATTATATATTTTTCATTCCAGAATACAATTGCTATGATCACCGACGAGGAACAAACTTAACAGCTTTCTTCTTGAATCAAAAATCTCATTTTGAGATACAATTCGTCCATAAATCATTCCAAGAAGAACCAACCGAAAACTACATTTTCTTTTCAACAGATTTTTTCCCAATCATCACTTTTATTTTATGTCTTGATATTAATTTTTCAATGTTGCGTACCAAACCTTCTTCCACATTCTCATGTATTCCCATGTGTTAATCACTCCTCTCGTTTCTCTACGGCTCTTCACTTTTTGCACAATAAACATGATGAAATAATACCCAGTGTAATTTCTCGGCGATATCCTGTTGTTGTCACCAACGAGTCCTTCGATTTTTTCTAATCAAAACATTTCTCTTCATGTTCTCTCTTTCGCGGGGAGCAAGTGGCAAAAACCGAGTTTTTGAAGGATGCGGACACAAACATTACACTGAAAAGTGCATACTTATAGTTTAAGACATGCTCTATACGATGACGAAAAATTTTTAGCCCGTTCTCACTCCCAGGCCGTAAAACTTTGTCTGAAAATTTTTGCTCGATTTCTCCACGCAGCCGATTTCGGCTTCCCCCCCTCCTCCTCTACCACTCGCGTGAGAGGAAAATTTTCAAAAAAAAAGTTTTTTTTTGAAAATGTTCACAAACAGTTTCAGAAGATAGAAAAATGTTGAAAAATGAGTATCGCACTCAAGAAAATCCCGAATAGCTAATTTTTAACCACATGCATGTTTTTGGTCAAATTTTAGTACTGAAATCACTTTCCGAGGCCATATTTTGACTCCTTTTGAGAACGGGCTGAAAATTTTGTTGGATTCGGATTCAGCATGTTTGAAAGTACCTTTGTACAAATTCTGAGCACATTCTCAACCGTTGTCTAAAAAACCTTCCCTTGTTAGAATTTATAAATCACAATCTGATGACTTGAAGAGTATTAGTCACATGTTGGTTCCAAGCATCGTTGTTTCACAAACCCAATTAACAGATGGATCACCACTTTGTTTTATTAGAATTTCTCTAGAACAACTAACAACTGTCGCTTCCTGAGCTTCAAATCCAACCCCCACGTTTTTGTGTGATAACACGGAGAGAACCACCTTCATTTTTTACTTCGCGTTTTTTTTCTGGGCTCACCTCATCCTTTCAAAAGAACTTAGTTATAGAAAATGTTCGGTTTGTTCTGGAAATTCATGTTGCTGATCGTCGTGTTGATGTCTGGAATAGCGACTGCGGCACCAATTCCACAAGGAGACAATCCAGATGATTTCCGTTATCCAGAAAACATAGATGATATCAGTGAGTTGTTGTCTTTTGAGAAAATATTAGAAAAATATATTTCTCGAATATAAGGTAATTTTTTTTAGTCAGAACTACCTCTCGCAAATGCTCAAACAAAAACCCATTATATACGTTTTTTGAGCTTAAATATCTCAATTCTTTGAAAAAATATCAACGATTAGTCAACTGATAAATGGTTATTCGTAAAATTACACATATTTTGTTAGCTGACAACTTTTGGATAACTGTTGAAAGAACCGAGATAATAGATCTCAAAAGCGTCTAAAAGATGGTTTTAATAAAACATTCACCACACATTGATAAAATGAATATCTTAAATAATTGACCTGAAATCTGAATAACTGATTTTTTACAATAGAGAACATATTTTAAACCCACTTTTTTTCATTGAATTTCAGACAATATGCCAATGGCCACCGTTCGTCCATCTGTCAACCCATGCAACTAAATTCTTTGATTTCGTTCAAATGAACTTGTATTGATCGATCATTCTTTCTAAATTTCATATTTTCCAAAATTTGCGTTTTTGTGAAATATTTGCACTTTGATATCCTACATGCCTAGACTATGCTTGTTCTTCACAACAATTGCATAAAAAAAAGGAAACAAAAACCACTGTTTGCTAGAAAACTGTAGAACATTTTTCAATATTCGGAGCCAGAAACGGTATATTGAAATTTCTGTCCAGATTGAGAAATTCTTTCTAGTTCTTAATGCCTGAAAAATTGAGTTCTACTGAAACTTTATGAACTATATCATTTCGTTAGAGCACGAACCAGAACAATAGCCCGTACTATTCTCTAAAAACTGATTTGAATTGTAGGCGCGCTTGGAACGGGATAGCGGAGTGTCGTTGTAAACTCACCCAAGGCAACTGTGTTTTTCAAAATTTTACAATTCCTTGTTGTCGAATTTATTTTTCTATTTAAAACAATAAAATGTGTTTAGCTTAGAAAAAAAACCTAGAAAAAAGAGACTAATTAAAATTGGGTGAGAATAGAGTATCAAACAGATTAGAGATGAAGTCATGAAAATGAGCTGCTAGTGTCAAGAAGTTACAGTTACAACAGAAACCATTTTGCATTGATGCTTGCATGAAATAAAATAAGAAAAACGACATAATTGCTCATCTGACAACAATGAAAGGCGTGTAAGCAGATATTGGAAACAGGAAAAAGTGGGACTGGATGAGACAGAAAAATTGTGAAAACCATTATTGTTCAATTTGGAACTCATCAAACACGCTAGCCAAATAATCCAATTCGTAACATTGAACCACTTTAATTTTGTTGATGTCAATCGATAGTCTATAATATCAGATGATTAACACGACACAAATCATAAACACGCTTACTCGTCAATGCATTTGAAGCAAATAATCATATTTTCCTTATTCGTCGGGACAAAGTTGAATAACACTTGTGCGCAATTAGAGCATCTTGCCACTGCGTCCTTATCTATTCCAAACTTCATCGGATTCAAGCCAGTTTTTTTCTTTGAAAGCAGTTTGACATTATTGCTTTCCATTTTTTTGTTGAGGAAATCGAGTGTAGCTTGGAGGTGTGCCAAACTCCTGAAAGCATTGTTTGTGTGGTTTCCCATATCAAAAAGCTCAAGAATCTCATTTTCGTTTGATATCACTCAAAATATAGATAAATAAAATTTTACCTCATTAAAATGGCCTTCAAGAGTTGTCGGAACTCCTTCTCCTCCACTGGTTCCAGGCTCATGACCACATTCCAGCTAATATATTCGATTGGAACAATCGAATAGTTTTTATAAGCGAGGTATTGGTCATTCATGATGGCAGTCACCGCCATTTGATGGAACGAAGGTTGCATGACATTCCACGAGACGTTGGCAGTGTACCCTTCGGATTGCACCCAGTGATAGGTGCCAATACCAACGTAGACCAACTGCCCTGGCCTCTGCGCAAACTTCTGGACAACGATTCCTTGTTTGATGCATTCCTCCTCATTTGGCCACCAAGTTTGGGAAAAAACGCTCTTCTTGGCACGTCTCTGGCGGTTCAGCATTTGTGCGAACGACTGAGAATATTCCGCTGGGACTGAAAACCAAATGCAGTCCCCTGGTCCGAGATTGATATTGATGGATCCAAGGGAGTTGCTTTCAAAGTGACCAGTTGTTCGTGCGGCTGGAGGTTTTAAGTACATCTGAATCTCGTTCAAGCCTGGGATCTTCTCGAAGGCGAAATTGAGCAGACTTCCTCTTCCAGTGGGTGCCAATGAATCTGGGAGCTTTCCACAACTCTGAAAAAAAAATTCGTTGCATTTGCATTCAACACCGATAATGGTCACGTGCCTAGTGTATGCTCATTTGATCAACAGTGATGTGAAGTTTTAATACATTTTTTTTGAAAATGAGTTAGGTTTATATTTTATGATGTACAGCTATCTCAATGCCTTATGTTAATTTTTTTCAAGAATCTGAGTATTCAAATCTAAAATTAAAACCTTGATTTTTTTAGTTCAAGCAAATCCCAATTTACAAGGGAACGTTTTTCAGATACCGGTTGAGAATTTGCTCAAAATTTGCATACTTATAGTTTAAGACATGCTTTATACAATGACAAAAAAATTTAGCCTGTTCTCACTCCCAGGCTGAAAAACTTTGTCTGAAAATTTTTGCCCGATTTCTCCACGCAGCCGATTTCGGCTCCCCCCCCCCCTCCTCCTCTACCACTTTCGCGTGAAAGGAAAATATCGGTTGTGTGGTGTTGTGGTAAGAGGCGGCTCATTAGGAGTGACTATGCTGGTTCGACCCCCACTGTGGTAAAATTTTTTTTGCATTTTTTTAAAACTAATTTTTGATTTCAAGTTCGGCCCAAGACACTTTTTGATACTTTTTGAAGAATTTCAATAATTTTCAAACTAAAAAGAGTTTTGAGAAATTGATGAAAAATTTAATAATGATCTTTTCGATCGGTCCTTACAGCATCCTATCGTTAAAATACGAAAACGTCAACCTCTCAAAATTGATCGTTTCAGCCCAAAAACGAAAGTGGGCTGTCAAATTTTGTGAGAATGCTATTTTTATCGTTTCTGAATAATTGGAACATTTTTTGGAACTTTTCAAAAAATTTTCAAAAAGTCACTTTCAAAGTGTGAAGATTTTTTTCAAAAATTTTCAAAAACATTTTTTTTTTGAAAATGTCAAAAAACTATTTTAGGTGATAGAAAAATGTTCAAAAATGAGTTTCGCACTCAAGAAAATCCTGTAAAACCAGTTTTAAACCTCGAAAAATGTGCGTTTTTGGTCAAAATTTAGCACTGAAAACACTTTCCGAGGCCATATTTCTACTGCTTTTGAGAACGGGCTAAAAATTTTTACGAATTCTGATTCAGCATGTTCGAAAGTACCTTTGTACAAATTTTGAGCAAATTCTCAACCGGTATTTGAAAAACGTTCCCTTGTTAGTGTATTTTTTTCAAAATAATTTGTCATACTATGTACTTTGAGATTTCATATATTTCCTGTCCTTCAAATTAAGAAGAAGCTAAATTTTGCTTCTCACCTTCTCCTGCTCCTTTGTTGCGTGTCCAGACAGGTCGACGTTGGTACCAAATGATAGAAGATTCGCATACTTAGGAACGGTTTCTTTCATAGCCTTGGCATCTTTCGTGTCTTTTTCATGATCACCTAATGGCAGCTGATTTTTGCGAAGCTCTGCTCCTAGCGTCAACAATATCTCATCTTTGTTTCCAGGATTGTTGAGGATCTCATTGTAAGCTGAAACAAATACAATAAGAAAAAAGAGACCTGAAATTAAATTACCGTCTTTTGTCAATACTTGAATGCATATCTTGTGGTTGTCCAAAAAGTCCTCCAACTTGTGGTGCTCAGTGAAATGATAGACGCCAATTTCATTACTTTTCTGCTCTGTGGAAATGAAATTAAAATTTGTAGTCGTCGGTTGTGGGATTTGGCGGATGACTTGTACAGTGCTATCTGACTTCAAAACCTCAGAAATCTTATCGAGATCAAAAGCCTCGACGTCGAACCCGTTCCATTCATCTACATCATCTACCATGAAGATACTGGCATTTGCTAGCAAATGTTTCAATCCTTCTTCGTTATTCTTCGAAATCATTGGGACTGGATGCGAACGTCCATTGGTTGAGTGAAGAGATTGTTGTTCGAAAAATGTTTTCTCTGCTTCAACCACTCTCGAATCTCCTTCCAAGACGTGCCTTATCTTTTCTTTCTCTGGGGGTCCGAATACATGGTTGTTTCCAGTCTTCATGAATTCAGCAGCACTTTCGAGCACATCCTGGCCTGTAACCGTGTTCACATCCAGATACAGATCTCCTGTGTATGTGAGAGGGTGGACATAATTTGAAGAGTCCTTGCTAGAGGAAGCGCTCGACTTAGGTCTTTCCACTTTTGGGGCCATGATAAGTTGAATCAGCTGATCTTTCAGTCCACGGCAATTGTTTTCTGGGAACGAAACTCCTTGATCAATTTTCACAACCGAGCAGTTTTTCTCCTGAAAAAAATTTAAAAAATTTCCAAATTTGAAAATTCGTCGAGTAAACTTACTTTGACAGATTCGATTATATCATCAACAGCTTGTTTCGCCACGTCGGAAGCTTCGGTGTATCCAAATTCCTCGAAATACGCTTTAATGTGCAGTTTCGCGTTGTAGAGCTCAGAATTTTTATGAATCTGTTGAGGCTTTGTTTGAACTTTTGCTTTCGGTTTCCTCTTCGGTTTTTTCTTGCACTCTGCTTTTTTGCTACTCTGATTGCTGCAACATGGTTCGTCAGCGAGGGTTTCATCAGCATCATCATTATTGTCGTCACCATCTTCCTGCTCTTCTCGATTTGGTGCTTCTTCGTCATCGTTGTTTATCAATTCAGCAGATGCAACAATTTGAATTTCAAGATCATCGAGATCATCAGAGAATGAAGCTTCCTGGTTTCTGTGGTTCTCCTGGCCATGATTTTCGTCACTTTTATCCTCAGAACCATCAGATAGAACAAATGGAATTTCGGGATCATCGAAATCATTAGTAAAGTTGGGCACCGATGCGTTTTGTGTAACAACTTTAACCTCGATATCTTTTTCATCCAGACCTTCATTCTCGTCATTTTCGTCCTCAGAAGTGATCTTTTCGATTGCGAGTTTCGTCGATTCGATGTCCTCATCGATTTTACCTTTCTCGTTTTTTAGTTCCAATGTTTCAGCTGCGAACTGATCCGGTTGACGTTCCAGATTTTCTAACAATTTTTTCGCGGCTCCTTCTTGGGCTTTCAATTCTTCTTGTTTGTGTGTGATAATGCCTCTCAAAGTATCATTCTACTCCTGTTTTCCGAACAATCCATGGAGCTGTGCCTCCACAAGGTTCAATTTTGCAGCCATGGCGAGAATGTAAGCATCGTGGGCTTCTTTCTTGGCTTCAACCTCTTTTTTCATTCTTTCCACAGATTTCGTGTCTACATTGTGCTCAGTAATCAAGTCGGCATACTCATGATCGTGCTCCTCCGTCAAAGACTTGTCGTTGTGAAAATGTCTCATTTTCTGCTTCTTCTTCAACTTCAAATCGGTTTCCTTTTCGTTCAACTTGTTGATTTTTGAGCGCAAATCTTCGTCTTTACAATCAACGATTTCCACGTCGATTGCGTATTGTTGTTTTTTGCTTTGAAAATTTTGGATTTTGAGTTGAAGCATTTCCTTCTCAAGCATCCGATTTTTCTGCTTATTCGCAAGAAGCTTGATCTGCGCATCAATGCAATTTTTCCGGTTTTGATATAAATCCAAATTCTCAATGAGTTGCTGCAATTGATTATCTTTCAGTTGCTTCGTGATAACTTCCATATCCTTCTTCCTAGCCTTAATTTCATCTTTCAATTTCTTCTTTTCAAAGCCTGACAGAGAATCGACGGAATCCTCATTTGGACGTTTCAGGCAGTTCGTCGAGGCTGAAAAATTGATATTTCTTAGACAAATCAAGTATGACAGCTTAGAATTCTGATTATATATTTTTTGACTTTTGACTCAATTTTGAATTGATTTTCACCAATAAATAATATTTCAAACTCCAGCGGAACTAATTAGTGTATTCTGATGAAAAGCTCGAAATAGTGGAACTATAGTATATTGGTACAGTATTGGACATTAATTCAAGATGTTCATCGAATATAAAGTTTTGAGTTTTCGAATTCACGTTTTATCGAATTTCCGAATTTCTAGATTTCTGACTTCCAGATTTTATCACAATGTAGAATCTAAAAATTTCGAATGATCGACATTTCAAAAATGAGATAAAAAATTTTGGATTTTTCAAAATCCGGGTTTCTAAACCTTCTGGAAACGTTTCATCGGTTCCATAACAGTGGAGGGTTCTCAAAGGGGCGAGAGGAGGGAAATTAAAATGGGTTTTCCCACGAAACATTTTTTGTTGACTAAATATGTACAGTTAAACCTAACTTCAGGAATTTCGCGGATCCCCTCCACAACGTCACATACAGAATTTGGTGTTTGTTACTAGTAATAATAATGATTACCTTCGGGAGTATTCATGTCGACCAGCTGGGATTGACTTTCCTTTTTAGGAGAACGGAAATAGTTTTGCTAACCTGAAAAAAACTATATCAAGTGAAAAAAAAAATGAATGGAAGATTGATAAACTGAAGAACAATATGAGAGAAAATGCAGTGCGGTGCCGATATCTTTAGGACTCCCCCCTCGATTTTTAGGACTCCCCCCTCGATTTTGGCGGTTCCAGGAGTGCGGGAAGAGATATCAAAGTTTTGTAAACGCCATTCGATTCAAGAAAAAAACCCTAGGGGCCAAATTTTTATGATTCTCCCACTTTCTGCATAAGAATACCATCAAAAAGACCTATTTCGGGTCGGTCAGTATCTTTGGAACCCTTGGAAATTTCGAAATTACGGTCATTTTTTGCTGAATTTTTGCTTTCGAACTGAAAATAAAATTCAGTTTCGTGCTTTTTCGGTACATTTTTATAAGTATCTCACAGAATTTTCACAGTTTGTCGATTTTCCAAATTATCTTTTTTTTCAGTTTTTCCTAATTTTAGAAAAGAGACCCAATATTTGGAACATCACAGTGTCTGTACACAGGCAAAGTCTTGACTGAGCTCCCAGTACCTGAATTAGCTTTTCAACATCATATTCTGTATGTTCCATGACAGTTTTCTTTGAATAGTTTGACTTTTTGACAAATTGGGTCACTTGTCCAAAAATACCCAAAAATTTGGAATATTTAAAGAAAATTATATGGAAAGTCGACAAAATATAAAAATTCTTTGAGATACTTATAAAAATGTACCAAAAGATCACGAAACTGAAATTTAGTTTCAGCTTAAAAGCGAACATGTAGTATTAAAACTACTTAGGAGTATCCAATCTTTCTGAAAATTGGCAGAGGTATACACAACACAATACTTAGTTTTACCATAATATGCAAAAAAAAAGTTGGGGTCATCGCTGAAATTTTTTATGAATTTTAGCTGGAACTTTGGCTGAAAATTGTGAAACAAGGGCGTCGGTAGAATTTTGATTTTACTTTAAAATCCACTTCCTTATTTCATAAACTCCCAGAATCCACAAAAAAATCCGGTGGCGCAAACTTCCATCCAACACTTTTAGTCCACTTTGTCAGACTCACTCCTATTTTTCGAAGTTTTCGAATCAAAATAATGGAGTTATCAGAAAATTAATAATTCCATTCGATTTTTCGCAGTCGATTACATAGGGAAAAATTCTAACCTTAAAAATAATGAGTTCCTAACGCCCGGTACAAGACTTCAAAGATGGACTTCGGAAAAGGGGAGAAAATTTTGGTCGCTCCGCCCCTTTTCATTGCGGCGCCTAAATATAACAATTAACTTTTAAAAAACATAGACTAGATGCTTGTTTTTTGGCTGGTCGTCACCTGCAAGAGAATGAAACTACCTACAAATGAGAATAATAAGCAGGAATGAATAATGGGAGTAGAGCATACTTGTAACGGGCCGGGTTTTTTTCCGGAATTTCGGAGGCCCGGCCCGGCGGGCCCGTCATTTCACTAGTTTTGAAAATTTCAAAAAACACATAAGGGGGACCCTTGTGTGATTTTTTTCGACCAAAAATTTTTTTCCGAGTTTTTTCGAACTTTTTTGATTAGACAGATAAACAATCCAAAAAACGAAAAAAAAATGGAAAAAATTATATTGAGAGCTCAAAATTTGGCTCAAAAATACAGAGTTTTTGACACCGGGCCTTCCGGGCCGGCCCGGAATTTTACAAGTATGGAGTAGAGGAAAACTGTGAGACAAAGAAAAAAAAAACTTAAACTGCGGGTGGGACCACCATAAGAAGAGAGGACAACCAATACTGTGGGTGCGCAAGAAAACTTATTGATTTTTCTATACACGTGTAGGGGTGAGGTGATGAGGGGGGGGGGGGGGTGAGGTGATGACGATGAGGGACTAGACCAAAGTGATGAAAGAAAAACGGAGACTAGGAGACTAGTTCACACCAGGCCTGTGCGGCAACAAAATTTTTTCGGCAATTCGGCAACTCGGCAATTTGCCGAATACTTTTCGGCAACGTTCGGCAACTCGGCAATTGCCGAAAAAAAATTTCGGCAATTTCGGCAACTTTCGGCAATTTTCGGCAACAAAAGTTTTGCGTTTTTTTTTTAGTAAAATCGATACGTAACTCACATGAAAATGCTTCTATCAGGCTCAGAACTACAGAAAATGTGTTTCATAAGTTCCTTAAAATAGTAATTACAAAAATTGGCAACTCAAGACCACATTTTTTATGCAAACTATTGCTCTTTAGCAATAGAGGGTATTCCAATGGTAGAAAATATTTGTTCCGATTGTGTGTTTTGAAGATAGTGCGCTCAACTTGTTAGGCAACTCACGACACACGTTTCCTAGAGATTTGAGACAGATTGGATAATTTTTTTTGATGAGTTGTGACTCATGATATCTATTTTTCTCCTATGCTCACAAATTTGAAGCTCATTTTTAGATCCGATGCAAGTATTTTTGATGATTATTGGGACACATTTCCTCTAAAATTCACTCTGAGGGATGATGGTGTTCAAAATTTGATTTTTCGAACTTCGAAATCATTTTTTGACTAAAAAAAATTGTGAAAATCTCTAAATTCAAAAAAATTTCAGTTGCCGATATTGCCGAAATTTTTTTGCCGAAATCGGCAACGGCAATTCGGCAACTTTTTCTTCGTTGCCGATTTCGGCAACGGCAAATCGGCAACAAAAATTCGGCAATTTCGGCAATTACGGCAATTGGCAATTTGTTGCCGCACAGGCCTGATACACACAGAAATCGCGCTACAGTGTTCCAATAAGTTGACACTGTGCCAGGTGGGCGTGCGTGGCAGCGTCCCGCTCGCAACGTAGTTAATTAACTTTTAACGTGAGTCGCTACACAGCAAATTCAACGCAACCACGACGCGACTGAAAAAAACGTGAAATTTGAATTCAAATCCATGTATGTGTTTTCACGGCCTTGACGACTGGTGCATCAAAGAAGACAAAACAAGCCAAGAGAATAAAAAGAGAGAAAGAGAGCCCAGTGGTTGCAACAGATGGTAATACGCATTCTGGAGATCACTTGGTCCCTTTCCCGAGAGAATCGTGGCCACAGGGTCAGAACGTTCCGCCAGTTTCTTGTCTGTCTCTTGTGCAAACATTGCTAACAATGGTCCCACCTCGTGGAGGTCACGCAATGAGACAGCGCGGATGCCTTCTGTATCGACGCGTGTTTTATAAAGTCTTTTAGACTTTGAACTCTGAAAATGTTTTAAACACTGAATCTTGGAAGTAAAAGTTCACGTTTTGGACAAACTGTTGTCAAGTAGAAAACATTTCTAAAAATTTTTCGATGATTTTTTAGAGATTGGGTATACATTCTGACAGTGGTAGTTGGTAAATTTAAAAAAACAGGAAAACATGAGAAATCTAAGAATGACAGCTCTGAATAGTAAAAAACCAAATAAGAAGTAATCAGAGAAAAGTTGGATGTAACTATGAAAAAAAAGTAGAAATTTTAGTTCAAAGTTCAAGTAACAGCTTTTCAATGACACACGTATCATTGAACTGGAGACATGGATTTAGAGACATAGACAAAGAGAGGGTGGTCAGTTTTCAAATAGATGAACGAGAAGACAAGAGAAAGCTGTTAACTTTTTCTTTCTTGTTTCTTTCACTTCTCAATTGTGGATACCAGCGGATGCTCTTAATGATTATTTTCAACGGGAAACAACACTGTAATGGAAAACTCCATGTAATCAAAAATAATACATAAATAAAGAAAAATATAAAGGAGCAACCCTTCTATCATATTTTTGGCAAATGATGGATTTACAATGATGGACTACAATGACAAGACAGGACAATCTAGACATGAATCGCTCGGCAGTGTTTTCATAGTAAAAAGTAGATAATGCATATTCACACTAGCCGCAGCGGGATGCATGAACTTTTTCCACGAATTCAAAATTTCACATTTGCAAATTCTAATTTAGAAGCACCTGCCACCGGGATTAAGTTTGGACAACAGGAAATGAAAATATTGGTCAGAGGAGGTTGTGTTCAAATGCGAAAGGAAGCGAATGTCAGAAATATGGTAGAAAACTACAGAGAAACTCAAAACTGTTTTGTTGAAAATAAATTATGCGTCTAAGAAGATGCAAAAGAAACAAAGAAATAGGAAAATTCACATCTTTCGAAAATCCTGAAGAAATAAACACGACATCAATTTTATTCGCTAGTAAAGACAATGGAAAGTCTCAGTTTCACAAAATTCCTTTTTGTCCATGGAAGGATGTAATTAATCTAACAAAGATGGAAATGTCAACAAATTTTCAACAAATTTGTGAAATATTAGCATTTGACATGAAATAATTGCTTATAGATCTATTATACATACTCGTTTTTACTCAAACTTTTTTCAAATGAAAGCAAAAAATAAAAATTAAAAAAATGTGAAAGTTTTTTATTATGAATTCTTTGTTCAGTGCTCTCAAGCTCCTTTTAAGACACAATCTCTGAGAAACTCGAAAACACCATGGCAATGAAAAAAAATCAAAATGGTCCTAGGAGTCTGATATTGTTAGTGGTGGATAGGAGCTACTCTAAGACTTTTGACCATGGTATCGATAAGCCACGCCCCCTCCTGGCCGCGAAATACTACCGTAACCCCGAAAAATTATTTTTGTTCAAAAAAAATGATATCGACTCAAACGTTTCAGATTTAAGTTTCTGGTATTATTATGACTATTTTTTGTGCTGGGACCAATTTTCTACAGTTACCCTGAAGTAGAGAAAATTTCATCTTTTTGAATTTTTTCACTTTTTTAAAATTTCTCAAAAATTTTCCATTGATTAAAAAATCTAACCCCAAAGAGTAGCCCCTATACCCACCACATACAATATCGGACTTCTAGGACCATTTTGATTTTTTCCATTGCCATCGGCCAATCTCAATTCTTTCAGAGAATGTGTCTTAACATGTTTATGTGTTGCCCAACTTATTTTCTTTTTAAAATAATTAAGACGGGTGAGTTAGCTGTCATGTTCGCGTTTTGCGAGATTCAGTAAGTTTTTATAAGTATATTCTGAATTTCCTTTGTTTCTCAAAAACGGTTCTTCTTGGGTACATAACACAAACGCCCTTAAAGAATGACCACCGTAACTTTTAACTTCGAGCCAATTTATCTCGGTTCTTGTGAAAGATACCAAAACGTAGTAAACTAAAAAAACATTTTTCATTTCATTTTAAACATTTCATCGGTTGACCACATTTTTATACATTTCACAGAAAATGAGATATAAGAGCATGAAATTTACGACTCGAGGGGGTTTTTTCGATTTTTCAACTTTCCTCATGATGTATTAATATTCTCTCCTCAATCAATTCTCAAAATGTCAGTGTCATTATAGCTTTCGAAGTTTTTCTGTTTAGCTCGTTCCTCTGGAGACCTTCTCGTCAGTATTAGCCATATTTGTATATGAAGTTTTCCGTTCATGTAAATATTTCTTCTTTTCTGTTTTTCTAATTACAGACTAGCGATATTATAACCAACCATTGTTTTTAAAAATAAATTCGTCTCTTTTCCTACCACCATTACTCATCATTTTGCTTCAAATTTGTTTCGAACTGGCGCCGAAAAAATTGTAATAAAAGCGCTCTATTGCTAACAGCATTTTTCGTGTATTCATGATGTTTCTATTTGTTGTTGTGAAAGGCTAGGCGGAAATTGAAAAACATGCTCTAGGAAAAATTAATTTCCTTTCTGTCATATTGAAAATGTTACTGAGATACGTAGAATTAGTATTAAAATGCACATTTCAGAAGTACTTGTTATGGAAATCATGAGAAATAAAACCGAATAATGTACGTATTTGTATTAGGTTGGCAGGAAAGTAACTGTCCATTTTTTTATTAGTAAATAACACAAACACAAGAATAATCCAGAATTAGCAATATGCACCGTCGTGATCCACAAAATGTTGGAAATGTTCAGGTAACTTGTGGGTACCATCCCTCCAGAAGCCAAGTCAAAGTATCCCTCCAGTCCATTTTTTCAGGCATCAATTGTGTTAAAGTCCTTAAGCTCCAGATGACGTCGTAAACTTTTGAATAACCAATGGTCTGATATAGCTGAATCAAGTCTTTAACGAGGGTAAAGGAGAACCGTCCAGCCAAAGCGGCTCAGGTACGGCGTGAATTTCCGTGAACATGAGGTTTTTTCATTTTTTACCTGCAGTCAAGTCAGACCTGAGCAGCTTCAGTGGGACCGTTCTCCCTTACCTACCTATAGTCTCGACTGAGCTCTATCAGATTATTGGATATTCGGAGAGATACAACCTCATCTAGAGAATACGAAAATTTGCACCATTTATGTGAAAAACAGGAAAAAATGAATACTTTGATTCGTGGCTAGCTGGCTTTTGAAGGTATTGTATCCACAAGTTATCTGAACATTGCCAACATGTCGTGAACCACGACGGTGCATACTGCTAATCTTGGATTAATCCTGTTTTGTATTATCCACAAATAAAACAAGGGACAGTTACTTTTTCAACCTAATAGTTCTGACCCTCCAGTGTATGCTTCAATTTTTTAGAGTCTAAAAACTTTAGAAAGAATACACTTTCATTTCACTTAAGTTCGTTCAGAAAGCTTTTTTATTATTTTTAAGTCATTGTGACTAAAACATACTGTAACCACTCTAATAGAATGGTCCGATGAGCGTCAATTGTGAGCACATACGTTTCATTTTCTGTGACAGATATGAAAAAGTTGTCAACTGATGAAATGTTGGTGATATTATAATAAACAGTTTATCTGTTGACACTTTTTTATGTCTTTGGCAGACACCATAGTGACTGGGCCTCAAACCTAAAAGTTAGAATATATCAAAGGTTTTACGGTACATACCGTAGACACTCTAACAGAATTCTCCCTGAACCGTCAACTTTGAGCTCCTATATCTCATTTTCTGTTGAAGATATCAACAAGTTGTCAACCGATAAATTGTTTATCATAATATCGCCAACATTTCATCAGTTGACCAATTGTTGATGTCTTTCACATGAACCGAGATAAATTAGTTTAAAATTTGAAGATTTTAGCTTTTGTTTGAAATTGAAATGTTTTAGTTAATTGCAAAATTCAATTTGGCTGATAGAACAAAAGTTAACGGTAGATTTTTTCTTTAGTTCAAAATTCATATTCTCAATCACAAAGGTCTACGTCGCCTGGCTAGTAAGATTTCTTCATTCAACCGACTCGTGACGTGTATGGAAAAACCACAACAAAGAAATAATTTTGTTGAGTAAGCTGAGATTTGAAATGTGTTTTTTTCCTATGCATTTTGAAGCAAACTGAGTATTTATAACACAAGAATGTCCTAAAGAAGGGGTGACATAAAGCGTATGGCTATCATGCCGCTTTCATTTCCGCCACAGTAGCTCAGCTTGTAACAATGCGGCAACTTCAATATTACGTCCACAAGTTCAACTTCTCGAGAGACTTATAAAACGAAATTTTAACAAAATTTGTTTTTTTTAACATATCCTCCCGCCTTTGATTTAGGAAAAATTCGAATCAGTATGGAAGTTTCTTATGCTTCTACATCCAGTCTCTAACATTTTGATAATCGAATTTTCAGTTTTTTTCTCAACTATTCATTTATTACGTCATCTAGAAGGGATACCGCCAAAACACATCAATAATTGCCCTACTCGGTTTTTTCTTCAGCCTGCTCGACACAGCTTGGGTCCGTGTCTTCTCGCTCTATCGACGTTTACTTTTTTCTCTCTTCTTCCCTCTCTTCTCTTCTCTCTTTTTTTGCCCTTCACATGCAAGCGAGCGTTGTTCTTCTCCCTCTTCTCCCTTTCCCTGCCATTTCTTCTTTTTTCGCTTCTTTCATATTTTTTTTCTGCATCCAACGCTGGCAGTGCGTTGTACTGAAAAGAGAGACTCGGTGACGTGGAAGACGTCTCGTGTTGTGTGAATATATATTTTTCTCTATGAAGACAAGAAAAGTATAAGAATTAGTCGATTATTTCATATTTCTTCTTCCGCTTGCTTCCCGCTTTGTTGTTTTTTTTTCCTCAAATGTATTCAGTGCAAAAAGAGGGTGTCACTGCCAACAAGCACTCCCAAAAAATCAATTTTCGCTTTCTCTTTTTTCTCTCTACATCGCCGTCTCCTATTCGTTTTTTTTTCGCCAATGTGCTTCATTGAAAGCCACAACCGCTCATTCAACCCATGACGCCAGCTCTCTGTTTGCCAGAACACGAATTCGTTTCCAAGTCTAATTTTCTTTGTTTTACAGATGTCAAAGCATAGCATACCATCTCTAGCTTGGTTCATGTCTTCCAACTCTTCTGAGGGGACATCCGCGGTCCAGCCGCATCAGAATGGAGCAAGCTCTTCAGTAAGTTCTCATTAACCAACGTGTCATTTCATACAACACTTTTTCTAATAGATCTCCTTTTTCATACTTGTAATTCGAGCTCAATTATCTCGGTTTTCTATGAGAAATATCAAAAAGGAGTCAATTAACATAATGATACAATGCATCTTTTTCTGTTGATGGTTATATGACATTTTTCATTAAAATCAAGATATCGTAAAACCTGTAATACAAGGGCGTCTTATTTCAAACTTTGAGTCAACTTATCTCGGTTGCTGTTGAAGGTATCAAAATTTTTTCACTGATTAATTTATTATCATAATATCACACACATTTCATCAGTTGACACATTTTCGATGTCTTTTATAGGAACCAAGATAATTGATCTAACGCGGGAAGCCTCCTAACTGTTACCCGGGGATTCGGATGAAACCTATTGTAAATAGTAATACACAGACTATCTAGAAAAATTCCAAAATTATAGCGGCCCTCGTGAAGGTCTATTCAAATGGTGAGACATTTTTTGATTTTTCGTGAATTTGGAGTCGGGACCGTTTGAACGACCTTAACTTTGTTCATGT